GATAACTAGAGAGGTAATAGGTAATAAACTAGTATAGATAAATCCTTTTATAAGGTTATTATTAAGGTACTTCCTTAGCACCTTTAATTTGTTTTATAATATTTTATATAATAGGCTAAATCTATACAGTTTACTATTTTTAAGCATAATTTTATAATTATATATTTAGTATTTAGGTAACTTATTAGCTTCCTATTAGGAGAAGGTTTTTAGCAAATAGTAATATTATACTAGGACTTTTATAGCTAGGTTAGTTTAGGTTTTTAGAGCTAAAGCCTTATTAATATTAGTAATAGTAATAGCAAAGATTTTATAATTAGGTTATTAGGCTAATTAGGTTATAAACGCCGCGTTTAGTATATAGATATTTATCCGGGTATTAGGTTTAAATTTAGAATTAGATTTAGTTTCGGGTTCGGTTTCTAGCTTAGGTTTAGCGTCGGGTATATTTATCTAGTATACTATTTTAGGAAGCTAGTAATTATATTAGTATTATATAGATAGGCTCGATTACTATAAGTAAAAGTATTAGGTTAGAAGTATTAGGCACTACTTAATAAGGGGCGCTTTAGGAAGCTATTCTATATAAGTTCTTATTATAGAGGTTTAGAAGTTGCGTAGGTATTATACCTAGTATTAGAATAATTAAAATAACAGTTATTAGTTATTATAGTTAAATCTAATATAGTGCTTATATAGCTAGGGCTATTCTAGTAGCAGCTTATATTTGCCGAGTTCTAGTATATAGAGACGGATCTGTTTTATATAGTTTAGGTAGTAGAGGGTTACTTATATAAAGTATATAATCTATTCTTTTTTAAGCATTTTTCTATTAAATCTTATTAGGCATAAAATATAAGGGAGCAGGTTAAGGCAGAGGTTCTATACGCGCGCTAGATTCCTGTAAATATAACCTATACCTATAGCTCTACTATTAATTAGAGCTATAGTATCTATATAGGTAGGGCCTTATTATATAGAAATAGGAATAAGAATCTATTATTTCTAGGAGTTAGGTTTAGGTTCTTTAAATAGGTTTATAGAAATCCGGGGTTAGAATAGTTCTAGGGGGCAACTTAGCCCTAGAATAGGGCTTTTAATAACTTTTTTATATAGGATAAGCGGCTATTTCTAGATTAATTAAAGCTAAAAAATAAAGCAGTAGATATAAAGGAATAGCAGGCAGATAAAAATTAGGTGGAATTAGTTAATTACATGTATATACGCGGTCGGGGGCTTAAAGGCTTATCTACGCTAGATAATTAGACTTAGGGTAAAGGAACAGAGCAATTATAGGAGATATAGCTATGCTTTCCGCATTTAAAGTAGAGGCCCTTTTAATAATATTTATCTTATTTGGCTAAGCCGGCTGGAGCATATTTAGATATATTAATTTCTATTATATCTAGGTCCTTTTATAATAGAGGGGAATATTAAAAGGGTTAGCTAGGCAGAAATTATAGATTATTATTATACTTCGCGATTAAGTTAGTATAATTATTTAGATTATCTAGGGTAGTAGCACTAACTATTATATAGCAGAGTTTATTAAAGAGAAAGTATTAGAGCTAAGTTATTAGGCCAGCTTTATTTAGATTTATATTAGCGGTAAGTTGTTAAAATTTAGTAAAGTATAATATAAAGGCACGCCTTTTTTACTTTAGTATATAGAGTTAATTTAAGGATATAAGTTTCTAGTTTAGATTGCTATATATAGCCTATAGGAATTAGATAAGTTAATTAATAGTATAGATATTTTAGTTTATTAAGGGGTTAATAAGTATTAATAGGTTAGATTCTAATTAAAAGTAAGTATATAGCAGGCGAGCACGTTTAGTTAGGTATTAATTAGTATTTCCTTCCAGTTTATACTATAGTTGTCGGATAAAGATTAGGAGTTTCTTTTAACTCCCTTTAAATATTAGAGGGTTAATTAGATATTTAGTCTTTAGGATTAGCAGGGCGGCGGCTGTTAAAGAGGAGTCTATTAAAGTTAGCAGAGTAACTTTAATAGTTAGGGTCTATATATAGTTTATATTATTAGCAGGTATTAAGCTATTATTTAATTTATAAATAGAAGGCCCTGTAAATTATTAGTCGGGCGCTAGTAGTGGAGTAGGGGTAGATTTAGACCGAATTGCGGCTACTTCCTCCTGCAGAGCAGCAATTTCCTATTTCTAGGCGGACAGAACTTCTATTACGGCAGCCTACTATTCCTTTATAGAGCTAATAAGCTCTAGAAGCATTATAGTCGGGTTAGCAGGGGTGTTTATAGTAGTAAGAGTAGACATAATATAATATTACAATAGCGCTACACGCAAGAGGTTAAGGGCTTAAAGAGGAGCGTTGATTAGGTGCTATATATAATACTACGTGGAGAATTAAGACGTTGTGTAAGGAACAGGAAGACGGGAGACGGGCCACCGGATATAAGGGCGTGGCCGAGCGCGTGGCGTACGGCCTCTATGCCGTTTCGGCGCGTGGCACGCGTGTACGCGAGGTCCTTACCAGATCAGGTGATAGGAAAAGGGGGCAGCTGGTAGGTGGCTGGAGCGGGACAGGATAGGAAGCGGAAGCGAGACGGGAGCGGAGCAGGGTAGGCAGGGCAGGAGGCCGGCCAACGGTAGTAGGCCGGTGCAGATTGCTGGAGTTATAGCAATCTGCGGCAGAATTTCGGTAGGTAGGGTGTCGCGGTCGATACCGTGACATAGACCAGAGAACTGGATTTAAGAGTCTGGCGTATATTAGAGACGGGATTCTTAATACAGGAACCGCCGCTTAACCTTATTATACATAGTCTAGGTCAAATTAGAACTAATCGGCATTTAGCTTCTTTTAAGGATAAGCCTACTTATTACCGCCCTTTTTACTACCTATTAGCCCCCTTTTTGCTATATATAACCCCCCTAGATTTAGCCTAGCTCCAGCCCGTATTAATATTGTTCTATTAATTATGCTCGCTTGCTTGCAACCTATACAAAGAATTAAATAACTCCTAGAAGCGGAAAGCGCCTAGATAGCTACCTCTTAATTGCTGATTAAAAGGACCGCCCTAAACACTATTATACTAAGGTTTCACACCCGAATATCCTTATGCTGCACCAGCTCCTTTACTATAAACAGCCTCCTCCTAAGGAGTAGACAGAGGGCCATCCTTAAGGGCTAGTTAACTATTAGGGACTAAGGAAATAGAGCCCTTGGTCACTGTTAGGGTGCTGGCTTAGCTAGCGGAGAGATCTGGTGCGGTATTAGTGAATTAAAACCTGTTATTAAACAATATTATCGCCTAAGCGACAGCCTAATTAGTGGAGCAAAGTTATTACAAGCCGGAGCTAGGCTAAACCTAGGGGGGGTTATATACAACAAAAAGGGGGGTTATACGCAGCAAAAAGGGGGGTTATAAGTAGTATCGTCCTATTTATAACGAAAGTACTCCGCACTAGCAACCTGCATGATTAGACCGGCTTATATCAACGCGCCCAGATGCGAGATTGAAACCTCGCCTCTTTACTTACGGTTAGAGAGAACCGATTAGGGACAGCATGGTGAATTATGAGGTGGAACGTTAGCGCAAGTTCAGCTGGGCCAAATCTGGACTTACTGTAAAGACTAAAATTAGATGTGATGAAAAATTGCGATGGACCGTCTTCTGGGCTTCGTTTCCCGGATGGCATGTTGTCTTTGTAGAGAGACTTACGAACTTGCAGCGCTTGCCACACAGAGACTGAACTTGTGAAATAGAGGAGATAGATCGGTGTAAGCTTAGGTGACACCGCTCGGAGTCCTTCGATAAGATTCCAAAATTCTGAATGAAGTGGAAATAGATCAATTGCAATGATGCGCGGAAAATAGCCTGGCCACCTCAGACGAAAGTGTCTACCATTACTCAGAAGGAGCATTAATATATCTGCTTCGAATCATCGAAAGAACATGAGACCACTCAATTTAGTAGCAAGCGAATGTACGTATATAGGCTTTGGCGTCGTATTATAGCAGCGCTAGGCTATAAATTCACTACTGCCGATCATCTCGAATGTGATTGATAGAGAGACTTTGGTGCTGTGAAAAAAATGCCCATCAGACATCTGATGAAAGATCCAACTCCGTGTTCAACATAGCTATACCTGCCTTTTGAAGGCCCCGATTTCATTCTTTAGCAGTGTCCAGTCATGTTTTTGACTCAATGGCTGAGTTTCTGACTATCAAAGTCGGTATTCAAGGCCCTGTATACAGCTCTGCCATTTGTCGTCGCTGATCTCGAGGTAATTTTTGACATAGCTTGGCTTGCTTTGATGTATTTTTTCAGAAATATGTAGAGATGTAAACTACGTCGCTCCCCATCGTGGATGGAGCTTCCTGAGCTGGTCTAACGACGCATGTGGTAGACGAAAACGGCTGACGTATCACTTAAACCTATGAGGATCCTTCGAAGCGAGCTAGCCAGTAGTAAACACGGGTATATGGATTTATGATGAGGCAGTCTCTTAGTATCTGCCAGTGCTGGAACGTGAGAACTTTGCCCCGCCTAGAAGCTGTACTGAAAGCTCTTGGGTTTAGTCTTCGATATCGAGTTAGTAGGGCTGTGAAGTGACTTCAGTATCACCGGTTTTGAACGCGTGATGAAGAGTTACAAGTTGTGGTTGAAGAGGAAGTGTCGCGAGGTCAGGGCGGGTCAGCTTAAGCTTGGCGTGTTGACGTGAAGCACAACATCGGGAGACAAATTTAGTCCCTTCCACATCTTTTCTCCCTACGTTATTTGTCTTTACCAATTGCCCACCATAGCTGTAACCTCGCTCGATACCTACATATCCTGGGGTATCGGCGGCGCATCCCCAAAACATAGAATCGCGTAAACTACCTATAAAGGTAAGTAGCTTACTCCAACGACCTCACTCACCCCCAAATTCGAGTTAGCATACACGCCCCTTTCAGTCCTCTCGAACCTGCCAGCAGGCGCCCTCAATGCTCTAACCCAGAGCGGTCACAATCGCTCGATTCTCGCGGGAGCATGCCCTTGACGCTCTCGACGACTCGAATCCTTCCTTAGCAGGCCTGAAGCACACCCTGTTCAGTCAACGTTGTCGCAATCGTATAATACCACGCCTAGACAGCAGGAACACTTGGGATATCAGCGGCGACAAAAGGTTGAACTCGGTAAAATGATCTCAGCTGCAGGAATTAAGACGCTGGGGTCCTGGGCCCTAGGAATGCCCTCGAAAGCGCACCTATTCATAAGACAGCTACAGCCAAACTGTTTCAAGTCGTGTCTACCTATTTGTCGCGACTTCTCCGTGTCGGTATCACATCCTTGGCCCACCGGCGACGAAAGCGAACAGAGGGCTCCTAGGCCATGTCCGTCTCCAGAATGGCAACCACGGAAAAGTAAAGGCGGGGAATACGATACATCAGTATCTCAGGTCTATAAGCGGCAAATAGTACGGCCTGATGGGAGCGCCCAACACTGTCCCGACTGTAGAAGACTATTCAATGATTGCCCAAAACATACCAATTTGAAGTCGGGTAGGGTAACCAGTAAGCGTTTCGACCCTGATAGGGATGCTTGGCTATGTCTTACGTGCGTAGATCACTTCTACGACAGATACGTCAAATATGTTCTCGCGAAGCCTACAGAGGCAAGCACTGAGTTTGTGCAACACCTACTCGAAAGGAAAGATTAAAGCATATATCAAAGACACCGAAACCGTCAGCTTGTGAGAATGAGAGCTATGGCCGGGAGCTAAAGGGGAAGGCTCACTTCCGTCCAGAACATGGTCCCTCTGGTCTCTGGCTCTGCAAATTATGTGCCGACAATTACGAGAATCAAGTACGATCTAGGTGGGATGCATGGAAGGGACTCAGTTTAAAATGCATTGACACTTGCCGAATGACCCCCCAAAGATTTCGACCGCGCTGTTCGAAGTAGCCAACAAGAAAGCATATGATGCGGGCAGCGTGTTGCGGTAACAGCGAGGTGTGCTTATCTGGATCTGACAATATGGATGGCAGCTACCCTCATATTTCACGACTCTTGACGCAAATAACTTCATAACCTCTTTTCGAGTAATCTGTGAATATAATTACCACTTCCTGCCTTCGTCGTAGCTCCGAGAGTGTTGGAACAACGTCGTGTATACGCCGATTTCATAGCAAGACAATACACCAGAGGGCTTCATCGTAACTCTCTGCACTTACCGCCACTGCCAAAGACACCTCCGGGTCTCTAAAATTGATATCAAGCGTCAGCCGGCTCGTTTTGGCCAATTTAGGACCTCGCTATACCCACCCAGACCGCCCGGCCACCAATATTCGCTTCATGTTAGATTCGGATCCGGGTTGTAGGATGTCACGGTGGAATGAGCTCATCCCTTTACGGTATAACTCCAAAATGCAACTTTTCATATTTCTGTGACGATGCACCGAAAGTCTAAGTCTGGATGTTTCCTTCCATCCTTACAAAAGATGAACCCTCTTAAGCAGCAGTGATATACGCTTCTCTTTCAGCAACTTTCGAGGCAGCTCCAAGAGTTGGTGTTGCCGAGCAAGTGCTCACATGAAGACCAACAGTCAAAGAAGCAAGGCCGTCCGGACCTAGAGAATCGGGAGCGCCAGCAGGTACCGTGCCGACGTATGCGTTATAGTTGTATATCCCACAGGGGCAGACATCGCTGATATCTCTCAAGGATGTATCACTAAAAACAGTCACGTCATCCCGAGTTAAAGTGAATTTCTGGCTTCCGACCCCCATTGGAATCTGGTACGCTGAAGCACCGGCGGGCGCGTCAAAGGTCTGCGAGTTCGATCCGGAGTTGACGATGACCTTTCCAGCAGACTTCAGGAGCGCAACGACGAAGACGGTGTCTTGCAAGGTTTCGTAACCGTTGGGACGTCCCTCGAAGTAGTTACCGCTGGCGTTATTCGCCGGAGCGATCGTGGTGTCCGTGGCATCGCAGTCCAGCGACTTCAGCGTGGGTCTGTACCAGTACACTAGTTGGTCTTCGGTAATATAAGCAGTTGGAGAGGAATCGCCGGCGCGGTATGCGGCGATGAAAGGCTTGGCCATGTCTAGCCAGCCGTTATGCGGCATATCATTAACCCATTTGGAAGCCCCGTCATCGACGTGCTTCGACGAGAGAGGTCCGATGTAATGAGATTCGCCGTAGTCATTCCAGGTGATGATCTCCAAGAACCTCGGACCAAGGGTTAATATGTCGTTCCAGCGACGGTACCAGAGAAGATCGCCCGGGAATACCCAGTTCTTGCTGTATGAGACTTCTGGCCCGTAATGTGTGAAGAACCATGGCGACATAGGCGCGATATATGGCTTGGAACCGAGCCAATTTATGTAGGTCGTATCTCCATCTTCGACGGTGACGTTATGTCCGGGAGTCGGAGCTTTGTTGTTGCCATTGCTGTCCCAAGCCAGCCAGTTGAACGCGCCGTCGATGTTGTCAGTGGACGACCCGGTCGCAGGATTGAAGTTTGGTGCGAAAAATATGTCCGTCTAGGGTTGTTAGCGAAATGGAGGGAACGGAATGCATGATAGACTATCAACTTACACCAGCGGCGGAGCGCACTGCAGCAACGTCTAAGCCATCTCCAACGAATGACGAAGCGAAGACCTTGTTGTCAACAATGAGCTGTGCGGGCTTGCTTGCATACTGTGCTATTTTCTGACCAACGGCCTCGGCGCCGGACGAGCTGGAGTAGTAGCTGAAATCAAAGGATATGAACACCTTCATGCCGTTGTTGTTTGCCGAGTCATATGCGTATCCAAGTTGGGTGTCCGTGAAATCGTCGAGCCCAATGTTCAAGGCAAATGCGTCAATGCCATAGGCCTTGGCCCTCTGCATATCCGCATCGTAATCGGCGGTGCTAGTTCGATCGGCGACAATGCCGACCTATGTTAAGAATGTAAGGAGATAGAAATCGGAATATGTACGAGGGTCTTACCATGAAGTGGCAGAATACAAATCTGTCTGAAGCCGCTCGCTGGGATATTTGTTGGTTAAATGTAGGGGCAGCCTGGCTCAAAATTGCATAGCACAGCCATGATATGAAAGGAAAGTGTAGCTGGGAAGAAAGCAGCCGCATCGTTTAAAAGAGAAGGAGAAATTGGTAGGTGTACTAAAGAGATGACTGAAAAGAGAAAGATGGTTGAAAAGCGCGAAACGAATGTTGACATAGAATGTAGACCGGGCGGCCGAGTTTTCTTTAATAAGCGTCCGTAAATACTCAGTGTAACAGTGCTACGATCCTTCTATGTAACGCTCCAGCAGGGCTTAGATCGTGCTTCATTCATAACGCGCGCTTCCCGTTTCGGCTAAGGGACCGAATTTGTACCCTGGTTGAACCCCGAAACAATAACATGGCAGTACCATGGTAGAAAGGGAAGGGCACATCATGCAGCCATAACATATCAACTAAAGAAATACGTAGCCAGTGGACGTCCATCTAATAAATTACAGGGGGCGCGAACTTTGTACCTTGTTTCGTTTCGTTTCGGAACAGGATCAGCCTATGGAGATTGCCTCGGCCTTTGGTTGTCTCAACCTCTTGCACAAAGACAAAGATTGCCACATACGGACTTGAAGGGGTAGGACAACGCCTCTGAAAATACAAGTATAGATGAAAGGGTGAGGCGTCTAGAATAGATAGATGCCCTTGTTGACTACCAGAAGGTTGCAACAGCACGTACGAGATCGAGCACACTCACTGTGATAGCCTTTATTTTCGGGAGGGGCTCTTCTCCATGTGAATCGCAGGCCCCATACTCTAGGGAAGTAGTGGTAACGGGGGACATCCCAAGATGCGACACATATAGTGGCCCTTCGTATTTGATCGACTTTAGTACATCGGGTTTCTAGGTATCCCCGGCCACGGCAAAGAAAAGACGTAGAGGGGGACCGTTAATGGAAATGGGTTGCTTTTGCAGAGCTTTGATTTGACATAAAACTAGTAGTCGTCTGGGAGTGTAGAAAAGGTGAATGCTTGGAAAAAATTTGAGACACTATATGTGCTGACAAAGCCATCTCACTTGCAGTGCTAGAGCGAATTGGGAATGTTCGCTTTGCGATCCTATCTTGCTAATGGCAGTGCGTTTTTGATCATCTTAGGACTTTACCACTGTACCCCATCGTTGACGAGCAGTCCCTAGTTATATTAAACAGCAACGAAAGTCAAAGCTATCACTAGGAGGGAGGCTTTGACATGGCCGACTCTATGAGGTCGATGTATGCGATGCCAGACACAGGCATCGTATGTAGGTCGCAGTACAGATACCCAATTGGCAATTAGCCGCTATCAGTGTACTTGTGGTGCTTCTTGCAATGAGGAACATGTGATTCGTAGATATCGGAGCATGCAGCAGTGAAAGAAGGTTTGACAAAGATGTCTCCGTTTCAGAAATCACGTGCCACTTAACGCGTCGATAACATCTTAGCGCGACTTTTCGCGATTTCCAGCCGCCCCTCTCCAGCTCCCACCTCCGCCGCCCTAATTCCTTTACGCTGCCACGAAGTCGCACTTCTAGGACCATTAAACCCTTATACATCGCGATAATACATCATGGACGACGACAGGCGTCTGAAGGACGAAGAGCAGAAGAACCGCACAAGACTCGCGACAGAGTTTTTGGACCCAAGTGAGTGCTGCAGTCAAGACCAGGAGCCGGATTGGACTGACAACTCGCGCAGATGATACGAACTTACGAAGGTATTTCCGCCGCTGCGTTGCGATTCCTAGAATCCCCCAGCCGAAACCGCATATTGATCGAATCTCAGCTACCGCGCCGATGTCCTGTTAATGCTGAATCGAGGGCTGAAGAGGCTCATAGTACGTTACAATCACATTGTGGACGTTGGCTTGCAAGCACTGAACAGTGACAGGTCAGCTTGGACGACATCAGGAGTCATGACAGAACAATTGCCGAGGGGTAGGCTCGTACAATCTCTGATTCCAGAAAGGATGCTAAAGCAACTGCAGCCTCCTCACTTCGCCTTTCGACTGGTCATCGGCATTCGACGAAGCCCTCAAAGCCGTTGTCGGCACGTTTCCGGGTCGCGAAAAGCCAGCAGACGAAGATGTAAGACGGAACGCCCTCCTCTTTACCCTCACCGCCCAGACGCATACCTCGAATACACCAAGCAATAGAATACATCTTAATCTGACTAGGTATACTATTGTGCTTTTATTGGAAGCTTCGGAGAATACGCCTGCAACCCTCGAACGCTGGGCTCTCAGCACCTCAATCGAATGGTATCATTGGAGGGGATTGTCACGAAATGCTCTCTAGTACGACCGAAGGTTATAAAAAGCGTCCACTACAATGAAGCCAAGGACAAGTTCCACTTCAGAAACTACGTGGATCAGACCATGACGGCAAGCGGTGCTACTAGCACGAGCGTCTATCCTACGGAGGACGAAGATGGCAATCCTGTAAGATGCCTGGATAGATTATTTACGAGCATTTCTAAATCTTGTACAGCTTGTCACAGAGTACGGCTACTCTACATACCGCGATCACCAGACGATCTCGATTCAGGAAATGCCAGAACGAGCTCCTGCTGGACAACTTCCGCGTGGGGTGGACGTAATCATGGATGACGACCTAGTCGATCGCGTAAAGCCAGGCGATCGTATACAGCTTGTGGGAACATACCGGACACTAGGAAATCGCAACCAAGGTGCAGGGAGTGCCATTTTCAAAACTATCATTCTCGCCAACAACGTTATTCTCCTCTCCTCCAAATCGGGGGGTGGAATCGCTCAGGCTACCATTACCGACACGGATATCCGCAACATCAACAAGCTTGCAAAGAATCGACGTGTATTCGATCTGCTTTCTCAATCTCTAGCACCCTCAATCTACGGCCACGACCACATCAAGAAAGCTATCCTTCTCATGCTTCTAGGAGGTGTGGAGAGGAATCTGGACAACGGAGCTCATTTGCGTGGAGACATCAATATTTTGATGGTCGGAGATCCATCGACCGCTAAATCCCAGCTGCTTCGATTTGTCCTGAACACTGCACCGCTCGCAATCGCAACAACAGGTCGAGGCTCTTCAGGTGTCGGTCTCACTGCCGCGGTAGTGACCGATAAAGAAACAGGGGAGCGTAGACTAGAAGCAGGAGCCATGGTTCTCGCAGATCGTGGTGTCGTCTGTATCGACGAGTTTGACAAGATGAGCGATGTCGATCGAGTGGCCATTCACGAAGTGATGGAACAGCAGACCGTCACGATTGCTAAGGCCGGCATCCACACGACTCTCAACGCAAGGTGCAGCGTAGTTGCAGCTGCCAATCCAATCTTTGGACAGTATGATACGCATAAGGATCCCCATCGTAATATCGCCCTACCGGACTCGCTTCTCTCCCGTTTCGATTTGCTCTTCGTAGTCACAGACGACATCGAGGACAGCCGGGATCGAAAGATTAGTGAGCACGTCCTTCGCATGCACCGATATCGCCAGGCAGGCACCGAGGAAGGCGCGCCTGTTCGCGACCAAGGCGTCCAGTCCCTAGGCGTTGGTCTCGATGAGAGTGAAGACGCGAACAAGCCTACCGAGGTGTATGAGAAGTACAACCCTATGCTGCACTCCGGTGTCACAGTCCAAGTTGGACGTGGACATTCACGCAGAACCGAAGTGATCAGTATCCCCTTTATCAAGAAGTACATCCAGTACGCGAAGAACAGGATAAAGCCAGTGCTCACCAAAGGCGCTGCGGATCACTGCGTCACGGTTTACTCCGCCCTCCGGAACGACGAGGTCGAAGGAAACCAGCGCCGCACGAATGCCATTACGCCTCGTATGCTTGAGACGATGATTCGTCTTGCTAGTGCCCACGCCAAGTCGCGGCTATCCAACACCGTGGATGCGAAGGATGCAGAGGTCGCAGAGAGCGTTCTGAGATTTGCACTCTTCAAAGAAGTGGTCGTAGTCGAGAGGAGGAAGAGGAGGAAGGTCACTCGTGATCCGGATGCGATGAGCAGCGACTCGAACGTGAGCAGCGACGACGATGATGACGAGGACGGAGACGAAGCCAACGCCGCGACTCCAAGATCCGGTGGTCCAAACACTAGGAGCCAGAGACGGCCAAACGGCACGACTAACGGCAATGGCGCAACTAACGGCACTGCGACACCTGCTGCAGACGACGACGATGATGACGACGACGATATGGAAGACGACCTGTACAACGTAACACCACGCACTCAGCGCACGAAGTCCAGCCGTGCGGGCGCCAATGGCGCCAGCAGCTCCCAATTCTCCGTCGCGTCCTCGCGGCCTGCCTCACAGCTGCTCCCCACGCAGACGGAGTCCCAAGACGACTCGCAGAACGCTGCTGGCCGGTCAAGTGGTAGCAGCACTGCGATCACACCAGCGCGTCTGCAGATCTTCCAGAGCGTGCTCGGCCAGCTGATAGACGGTCCCCTGTTCGCAAGCGACCAGCAGGACGTGGAGCCAGTCATTGCAGCCGTGAACGCGAGACTGGGACGTGGGGCCGGTAGAGAGCCTTTCTCTGAGCAGGAGGCGCAGTCTGCATTGAGGGCCCTGAGCGACCGGAACAAGATCATGTAAGTTTCACCTTTGCGCCGAATGCTTGCCTGCGTTGCTAATACGCTCTAGGTACGAGGACGACATCGTCTACAAGATCTAGAAGCAGAGGCCAGTTCGAGACGAGGAATTGGGTATCGGAGAACGAGGACTGGTGTTCCTGGGTAAATGATGCATGAGGGATGTATCATGAGGGCATATGCATGTTGCTGGAGTTTTTGCGTTTGCGGGGCAATGTGAGATATCCAGGTGGTGTCTGCTGGTGGGAATGTGTTCTTTGGGGCTTTGATACATAGACATGAAGCGTCTTTGCATTTCGGAATCAAACTTCGGGGAACTTCGGCCATCGGTGCTTCTGCTTCCACATAAAATACATACTGCACTAAACGCTTTCACAGCATGACGGGAGAAGTGGCTGATCCTGCGAGAGCGGATCAAACATGGGATCTATTCGCCGCATGTAGATTACCGCTCATACGTCTACAATTGAATCTACATGAAAGAAGGAGTGAAAGAGTTCTTCTGCGCTATGAGAGGTGAGAAGAGTCGAAATTGGTATGATGTGCGAGCAGAGAAGCCCATTGGTATCGCTACGGACAAGCTCAAATCCTAATAAAGAAGCTGAGAGAGAAGATGATCCAAACAAAGAGGGTGGATTGCGTGACCATTACCGGTCCAGAGCTTGCGCTTGGCACTAAGATTATGGAGTTAGTGGATGACTGTGGTAGAGTGTATGTATGAACTCACCATTTGGTAGTAGACGCCTCTCTTTTTAAGGAGGCTTTGGTGGTCTCCTTGTTCCAGCACTCTGCCGCTTCCGAGGACGAAGATGATGTCGGCTTTTTGGATGGTTGCGAGGCGCTGTTATGTATTGTTAGTACTAAATTTTCAATGGAGACAGCATGGGTAATAGAGAAGATACGTACATGAGCAACGGCAATGACGGTCCTCGCGCCGCCTCCTGCAGCACGCTCAATGGCAGCCTGTACCTGCTTCTCGGACTCGGAATCCAGACTCGACGTAGCTTCATCCAAAAGCAAGATCTTTGGGCGGCGAAGGAGCGCTCGGGCAAGGGCAATACGCTGCTTCTGTCCTCCGCTGAGAGACATGCCTTTCGGCCCTAGCTTCGTAGCGTATCCGTCGGGAAGCGAGAGGATGAATTCGTGGATCTGTGCGTCTTTACAGGCTTTCTCGATAGCCTCATCCGTGGCGGAGGCGACATCGACAGAGAGCGCGACATTCTCGCGAAGTGTGCCTTCGTATAGGGTTGGCTCTTGCGCAACAAGACTCAATGCACTACGGTACTCCTTGATATCCACAGATGAAGTGTCTTGGTCCCCACATATGATTGAGCCAGAGTCTGGGTCATAGAATCGCTCAAGGAGACTTATGGTTGTGGATTTGCCGCAACCTGAAGCACCAACCAAGGCCGCGAATTGGCCGGGCTCGATCTTCAAGTTCAGGCCTGTGATGACGGGTACGTCGCGGCCTTTGTAGGTGAAGTAGACGTTTCGGAACTCGATACCGACGGGCCCTTCGGATTTGTTGAACAGTTGTGGCTTTTTATCGTCCTTCCCTGGTGGTGCCGGTCGAATACTGAGAATACGGTTGGCAGCACCGGTCGCTTCCGCCATATTAGGAGCAAAAGAGAACCACACTCCTGCGGCCTGGCTGCCCTGGACTACGGCCATGTAGATGATGAAGTACTGCACGATATTGTATTCCCGGGAAGCGAGCAATGTGCCACCATACCAAAAGCATAGAGCCATACACGCCAGCTCGATACTGTCCGAGCCAGCGAAAATGACGGTCGAGTATTTTGCTTGGCTGAATGCCTTTGTGACGTGACCTTCGAGGAGTGTTGAGTAGCGTTGGCTTATCGTATCTTCCATGATTAGGGACATGACGGTCCTGAAGGCGCCGACCGCCTCGGTAGCAAATTGAGAGCTATCCTCGAATACGGCCGCGTTCATCTTCTCAAACTTCATTTCTTGGCTTACCCTCAGGTATCCGGCACCTAGAATGATTGGGAGTGCGGAAAACAGGCCAACCAGGGAGAGCTTCCATCCGAAGGCGAATGAAATAGCGATTGACCCTGACAGATTGAAGACACTAATGAGCGCCATCGACATTTCAGTGCCCATGAGCTGCTCCAACTGCGTGGAGTCATTGCTCAGTCTTGATGTAAGAGAACCGGCAGAATGGCCCTCGACATCAAAGAAAGGGATTCGTTTCGTGATCATATGTTCAAGATACTCTTGACGATAGTGAGTTGACACGGCAGTCGATATTATGTGTGAAGCCCACCCAAGGACAAAGTAGGAAGCACCAACACCTGCCGCCAAGACTCCGAACATACCGCTCCAAAAATTGCCATCGTGGACGAGCTTTGATCCGGTAAATGTAAAAACGTTTACGATTTTGGCGAAAATAAAGGCCTGGAGCGGATAAACAGCCCCTGAAACCATAGCAGCAAAGATGGTTAAGGTATAGGGTATCCAGCGTGTCCTCTGCTCGTATAGGAGACGTCCGAAGCTTCTGATGAGACCATGGTACTTGTAAACGGGCTCATTTCCGGATTCTAGGCTGCTGCGCCCTTCACTGAATTCTGCATGTTTCTCGGAAAGCTCGCTTGCATCCGTCTTGATATGGTGCAGCTCTAGGTCTTCCTCGATGGCCTCTTCATGTTCCATCTCAAGGTTCTGGGCGTGAACCAAACCATAGTAGATTCCTTCTTCGTCGGCAACCAATTTTTCATGTGTGCCTTCTTCGACTAACTTGCCCTGGCGGAGGACGATGATTTTGTCTGCTCTTCTAATGGTAGACAAACGATGCGCGATTACGATAGTGGTTCTGTTCTTGGAAACTCGGTCGAGGGCTTCTTGGACAATACGCTCGGTACGAACGTCGATAGCACTGGTAGCTTCGTCTAAGATGAGGATCGGTGGCCTTTTGACTATGCTTCTAGCGATGGCGAGGCGCTGTCTTTGACCACCGGACATTTTGATTCCACTTTCTCCGACAAAAGTATCGTAACCTACAGAAGTTAGTCCCAAGTAAGGCTGCAATTATGACGGGCGACTCGTAGGAAAGACTTACCTAGAGGCAGCTTCGATATAAACTCGTCGGCAGATGCTTCCTTACAGGCGTCCTTGATCATTTCCAGTTTCTTCTCCTTGGATTCGTTTTCCCACTTAGTGCCACAAAACCCATAAGCGATATTGTTGTAAATGGTGTCATTGAAGAGGAACGGCTCCTGCTGCACTAATCCAATCTGGCTGCGCCACCACTTCAGATCAATCTTGGAGAGGGGAATCCCACCAATCCTAATTGCTCCGACACATTTCTCGGCTAGGACTTTACGCTCTTCCTCCACCTGAATGGATATGTTTGGTGTCTGCTCGATTTTGTCACCATCTGCAGCTTGGGTATCCGACTTCTCCAAAGAATCCGTTGGGTCCTGACTGGTGAGTGTCGATTGACGCTCGACAAGGGGGTACCATCTCTCGAGAAGAGCCACGATGGTACTCTTTCCCGAGCCCGAAGGGCCAACAATAGCCGTAGTCTTTCCAACCGCGAAATGCAGGTTCAAGTGGTCCAAGATCTGAACGTCGGGCCTGCTAGGATACACAAACGAGACATCGTCGAACTCGATATCAGTATCAGCAGATACATCTGGGTCTGATAGTCCCGATGTGTCAGGAACCTCAGCGTCAATAGTTGCGAAAAGCTCGGTCGCAGCAGATGCAGCTCTCGAGATCGAAAGTAGTGGACTTGTAAGTTTGCCGATACTCATGACGGCCATCATGACGGAGAAAAGAACACTAAAAGGTCCATTAGCTGTAGAATCAGGACCTCCGTACTTGTAGTCGTACAAGGGATAAACCTACATGACAATTGTGTTGATACTATGGATGTGACCGCGTGTATATTGGCGGATACCAAACCAGAATGTCAGCCCAAAGGTTCCGTACATAGCCAAGAAATTAGGAGCCATCAAAAGTCCCATGAAGGGGCCATTTTGCAACTCCGATTTCTTAGCCTTCATCAACCAACCGTGGTGTTGTTCGGAGAGACGAGATTCGGCGCCAAATGCACAGATCACCCGGATTGACGAGAAGATCTCAAACGCAAGGCCGGAGGCTTGTTCCTGTAGGTGTTCGGTTCTTTTGTGAATCTTGATGAAGACAGGAATGATGAGGCTGTATGCGACGACGATGAACGGAAGAGATGCGCTAGCTACAAACGTGAGCAGCCAATTGTAGATGAAAGCAATGACGTATAGGCCTCCAGTAAATGCAAATGCTTGAACAAGCATCGCCAGCTGCTGCGATATGGCCAGCTGAATCGTATTCGACGATGTCGTTATGCGCGTAGAGACTTTGCCCGGGGAAATGGTGTCAATGGTACTGACGGGCTGTTGGAAGAGGGCTTGGAGGTAAGCTAGGCGCAGGGCTGCAGATATGCGCAATCCGCTAATCCTGACTGTGAGCTAGTAATTCGGTGGTTAGTTTGCGATAGCTGTTCCGAAAGAGCGTTCTACTGACCATGGAAACGTAGGAGCACGCAAATTTGCCTATAAACAGATAGACAATATATAGCCTGGAGTGATGTTGTCAGTAGGCGGCCAGAGGTATTCGGTGCAATTCACAATAAAGGAGCGCAGTTTAGTAAGTAGCATGAACCAGAAAAACATTACTCACGTATTCTTGTTGATATTGTGCTGGAATTCCGCTTTCGTGACGGTTGATCCAGGGATGAAATAGCCAGTGAATGTTCCAGTCAATTGACCTATGGGAAATAAGCATGATTGGATAAAAAGAAAGGAGTGGATTCAGTAACACGCACCAAAGACGATGTTCATCAATGGCATTGCCTATCGATGACGCCATTAGCAATCGATATAGAGAGTAGAGTAGACACAGCTCACAATACCACTGCCCACGGAAGTGAGGAGCGATAAGCCCATGAGAACCCAATCCAGAGTCGTGCCATAGGTCAAGACTCTCTGTTGGACTCCAGTATTAGTGTTGGTGCCTCAAGTAGAGCTAGGCATGAACATACGAAGAAGTTCTTCAAGCTCGCTTTCGCCTTCTCGTCCTCGCCGTCCTTGTTGCCCTTTTTCTTCTCGTTTTCTTTCTCTTCAGACTTCTCCTTGACAGCCTCTTCTGCAACCTTGGCCTCGGTTGCAGGGTCGGTCATGGCGGTGGCAGGGAGTGGCGATGCCTTGGCTTTACTCCGAAATCGAGCCATGTCGCAGACGTCTTTGAATCAAGAAGATAGACGAGCGCAGGGTGAGCATGGTGCTATTCGCGCAGTCCGGAGGGGGCACTTTGAGAAAAATGGATGCCTGGAAGCTAGGACGGCGATGTACGTGGAGGACAGGTCGCTTTGTATTATCTCGAGATTAACGGGCCTGCCAAGCGAGCTCACGAGCCGCAAAGACGCCTCTTTCCTAGGCGCAACTGGTTCAATCGGGTTCTACAGCAACCCGAATTGTGACATAGGAATTGCCTGATAAACCAAGTGTGCAAGAGAGCCCGCGTTTGTGACAGTAATGCGAGAAACCCGCGGCTAGACGTGGCTATCCTTGCGCCCTGGCCGACGGTCGTACTCAACTGCGTCTGATTAGCTCCGCGGCGCTTTGCTCCTTCCAAGAGAACTCAAGGCACGCAATACGAAGGATCCATGTGCCTAATGCCTTGTGCACACAAGGGGATGCAAGCGAGCAGCACAGCACGACAGTCACCACGCAGATCATTGTCGGGAGCCCGGCCGGAAGCACGGCGTTGTGCATCCCGCGGGTCCGATTCACTTCTCAAAGGGGTTGGATGCAGCGCTGGGGCTGGTCACATGATCATTGGAATACGTACACCTGAAGCTTCCCTCTTTGCCACCAACGGTCGCTATGGAATTCTCATCCTGACCATATAGCTCTTCTGATTCACACACATTGAGCGCACCTCTCCAACTGGGTATCGGCTATGTCGGTTATATCGGTTAATACGTATATCTGAACCCCTCCAGCCCCTCGTTCACCCTTCTTCCCTTCGCCGCTTGTCGATTCGCGTACACATGGAAGACCGTCAGGACGCATACAAGAAGCACCGTCAAGATCTGGCAGCCCTATGATTGCACGCGGATCAGTCTCGTTCTCTTCGCACTGATCGCTACAACTTACCGCAGAAACCCAGATTCCAGTGGGATACTTTGGAGCTTCTCGTTGAAGAAAGACGTTGGCCGTGATCACGCCACCGATTGCACCAAAGCAAACTTGAAGACCGGAGCCAATACTAAGAACATGGAGTTAGAGTCAGCACACAAGCTCAATCCGACACTTCTTATAGATGCGGGGATACTTACGCTCTCGTTGACTGGCCTCTGATGTTGTTCGCTGATGCTGTGGTTAGCCCTTGATCCGTAGTTATAGCGGTTGGGGGGAATGGATGAGTTTACCCTGGTAAGCCAGTGATGCCGGTACATTACCCGCGCACCCTGCGATCCCGAGGAAGGTTCCAAAGTACCTAACACCGTTGTTCTTGCAATACTCGATCAACATAAGCCCTACGAATGCGGTTGTAGCCTGGAAAGCCACGATGGCGCCACGCTGATGCAGCTTGTCCGCTAGCTTCGAAACAGCGATGATGTAGAAGATCGCAGCAATATTAGGAGGCGCGCAGAGGAGGAAGGTGTTGGAGACCGAGTAGCCCATTCCTTTGACGATGATCTGGAGGAAGTAGGCGAAGGCATAAACGCCGACTCCCGAGGTGAGGAAGAAGAGGGCACTAGTAAAGGTCCATCGTAAGCAAGCCTGACTGCGAAGAATGAAGAAGTATACTTACTATATCCATAGTTGCCACTTGGCCAGCGTTTTAATTGTTTTCTTCCAGGTGATGGGATCGAACTCGGCGTCTCCTCGATCCGCCTGCAATCTTGCTTGCACCAATGCAACCTCATCCGGCGTCAAATATGGCCTGCGAGCCAAGTGGATCTTGTCGGGAAAGTCGATGATGAATATGTATCCGTAGACTGCGAGCACGATTGTCATCAGCCCTTCGATGATGTATATCCATCGCCAACCTGCGAGACCGCCGACACCATCCATATGGATCAGTCCGTATGCTAGGATGTTTCCAAACGCGGTGGCGAGGAGAGATAAAGAGAAGAATATGGAGATTCTGGATCTGGTCAGAGCGGCTCATGCAAAAGATGTTGGAGCCCTACCTAGTCTGCATCTGGTATCTCTCATACCAACAGCTAATCAGGTATGCACATCCAGGTCTGCGAGCAGGTGTTAGCGGCCAGCAATGGTTGTGGGGCTATCAGCGTGCGTACATGAATCCAGCCTCAAATATACCAAGCAGAAGCCTGATCAGCACCATTTCCTAATCTATCAGTTAGTCGACTGGAACTATCAATCTCCGCCTTTCTGCACACTTACACCCCAATGATGCGTAAAGCCAGCTCCTACAACAGCAAAATCATATTAGCTTCGACGCAAAAGAATGACCAACAATCGAAAGACGTGGTTCTCATACCTAGGACACAGATACCCCATGCGAAGGCAAGAAATGAGAGCCACAAGGCCGCCCCAACTTTGCGGAGTATTATGTTGCTCGGGATTTCGCAAATGAAGTAGGTGATGAAGAAGACGCAGACCGCAATGGAATAACGACTCCCTTTCAGCATGTCCAGGTCTTTGCCCATGCCTGCAACTTGAGCATTGGCGAGCTGTGTTGACCATCAGTGTCCATATTCCATGAATGATACCCCAACTGACGCACGTTTGTTCGATCAATCCCACTGATGGCGTAGATAGCTAGAAGGTTTAGCATTAGCATTCCAGTAGCTTCGTAGCCTAAGCAAGGAATGGACTCACCTCCCAGGGCTGGAAGGAGTCGAATGTCTACTTTGCGACTAGAGCCAAGTTAGAGACGGCCTATCCTTCGATCAACGGAGCATACTTTATCTTCTTCAGTCTCTTCAACTGGTGTTCGTCAAAGCTGTCTAGCGTCTGCTCTTGACCTCCCATGTCCTCCTCATACACCTCGCCCGGTTTGTCGAGTGCTGACATCTTGAAGAGATCCGAGTATTTCGGAAGTGTGAAAACGGTGAAAGTGGACTGGGATTCTTTTTTTTTTCGACGGGGATCTACCTACAACATATACACATCAGATTGACCCACATCCAACACTGTGCCGTATTTCCCGAGGATCTTCTCTCCAGACTCGACCCGACAACTCTATTCCTGACCCAGAATATGGCTGGCGTGCAGGTGGGATACAAGCATTCTCATTGGCCAATTCGTGTTGAAATCGCTTAACGACCAACAATACCCCGCGATACCAGGGTATCGTCCGCAGGGATTCCGCCAGCCTCGCGGATGGGGAGCAACCCGGGGCCGAGACGGGTACGCCCAGCGAGCCGGATCCGCACAGTTCCTCGGGCGATCTTTCACGGGATAATTAGGTATCTTAGAAGATAAGGTCCAGAAAGTACACAGTACGGATACATCAACAAAATCTTCATTGATACGATGGTGAAAATTTCAGAGATACTTTGACATGAAAAAAGTTCCAGATCGGAGCATATTTGGACTAGGTGCGTGATAGGGAATACACTAACCGTAAGCGAGTCTGTCAAGTTCCGCCATGAGAACATGCTTGCTTAAACCGACCTCTTATAAGCACTTTTCTATCTCGGATACTCGCATCTGCCTTCACGTACTTACCGACTTTGCTTTAAACTCATGTTACTTCTCTCATTGTCCTCACGTCCTCACGTCCTTCCGCTCCTACGCATCCCTAATCTCTCCTACCACCTCCTTCAACATCTCCGGCACTAACTCCTCCGCATCCCCCTGAAAATACCAATCCTGCTCCTCCAGCCCTAGCAGCCCCGGGTCCTCCTGTTCGGCATTCACAACCGCAACTCGTGCTAGCTTCTTCCTCGCCGCCTCGATATACGCCGTCGCTGGATACACCTCCGCACTCGTCCCGATCACTAACATCGTATCAATGGACGGTGCGGCTTCGATCCAGGCGTAAAGAGATGCAAGGGTAGCGGAAGGAAGGGCTTCGCCAAACCAGACGACGCCCGGGCGGAGAAGGCCGGTGTGGCAGGCTGGACAGATGGGTATGGAAGCTGCGGAGAGATATGAAGTAGAAGAAGATGCGAGAGCGGTGGGGAGAGTGGTGATGACGGCTTCGGCGGCTTCGTCGTGGATGGTGTGGGGACAGGTAGTACAGCGAATAGAGAAAAGACTGCCGTGGAGGAAGCTGATTTGGGCTGGAGGGTGGGTGGCTCGTTCGCTGAGGCCTAATGATGTTAAGAGCAGCACAAAGCCTACGAATCGTTGAAGTGAGATGCAAGAAAGAGACGAAAAGTGAAGCATAGCAACGTACTGATTAATGTGATGTTACAGATGACTTGAGCATGAGAAGCTCGGCAATCACACGGGACCTTGAACGCTTGCTATTTGAGAAATGAATCTACTTTTACAGATGGCTGAGACGAGAAGAAATCACTGAATCAAGGAAAAGTACCCTACCATCAATATTCATACTAATCGCCATAAACCCCGGCACCCTCTTGGCCAGCTCCGACAACGCGAAATGCGCTCTATTCGGCTTCGCTTCCTTCGCTGCAGCTCTTCTCTCCAAATAGAACTCCCAGACCAACCCAGGATTCTCGTCAAAAGCCTGTGGAGTCGACAGCTGCTTCGCATCATGCGTCCGCCATAACCCCCCTGTGCCGCGGAAAGTAGGCAAGCCTGACGGCGCCGACAGTCCGGCGCCAAGTAGTGCAAGTACGCGAGGTGATTCGGCGAGATGCGTTTGGAAGTCAGATATGGAGCGGGAAGCGCGTGGGCGTAGGAAGCCGGTTGCGGAAACTACGGAGGAGTAGTCTGGGGCGGGAGTGGTGGCCATGTCACCTCTCAACGCTATTAAATGGGAATTAGACTGAACTTAAAGAAATGGTGTTTAGTGGCTGATGTAAGATGCAGCTATTAGTTGACGCGGTTGAGGGAGACCAATAGGTTGGAGCCTAATTTGACGTCACGTGATCGGGGCTCCTCCGGGTTGTGTAAGACTATACCTTTGTATACTTCACTAGTTTACGAGACCTGACTATAATCTGACTTCCACTTTCTCGGAAGAGAATCCATCAGACTTCCCACAGCTAACCGACTGGAGTTCCATCTTCACCTAGTCTGCTTATTATCAATCGCAACGAAGTCATCATAGCGAGGCTCCGCCGCTGAAGCAACGCTATAAGAAAGCTTTGAGGGGTTAGACTGCAGGCATAGGACCGTGTTGATGTATTCTACTCGCTCGGTGGTGGTCAAGTTGCCGCTATACACAGAGATTGTGTATTAGCCTCCATTCATGAACCCTGGATTGAGCTGATAGACGTACGATTCTTTTCGAACCGCCAACTTTACTTTAGTCAATGAGGTGTGGGTGATGCCATCAGTCATAGTTCCGCTTAGGATGCTGTACACGTTGCTTAGGCCCGTCGCGGCGAGTTCATCGACGGCGTCTGCGACAACCACGCTCTGCCAGTAGAGTGAGAGGAACCATGGCGCAGCCAAGCCGGTTTGAAGGAGTCCATATGGGGCCTCCCTCAAGGGCCCTTGAGTATAGGGTCTCAACTCACCAAAGGCTCCCTGCCTAAGAAACCATCCAACTTCTTCCGATCTCGTGGATAGTGTTCGGACTCCTCGAGTGGCTTGGTCTAGCAGGACGATGATAGCAGCACCGTTATTTAAATTTTCCATAGTAGATAAAGCTCATTTCAAAGCCGCTCACATTCCATATTGCTTGTGTAGGGCGATCGACGGCGATGCATTGTCTCTTTTTTCAGATGAAAAAGTCAAGGGGAAGCTTGCTTACCTTGCATCTCCGCTCCTGGCTAGACCTAGAAGCTTTCCGAAGTTCTCCTTGGCATAGAGGTGCAGGCTGCTGAGAGGGAAGTGATGAAGACGAAGCTCGTTTATCTTCTTTACCAGCTTCTTGGCAGACTCTTTGCGGAGCGGAAGCGTAGGGGTCGCCTTGGCTCGAGGGCCCGTGTTGTGGGAGATTGTGTGTCGGAAGAGCCTATTCCGGGTGAACGTAAACCCTGGTACTGCTCGGTTATTCCACAACCATGATCTTCGTTCTAAGCGAAGCATTAAGGAGGGTTTTTAATTTGTCTGAGGGCGACTACGCATGACGGTCTGAAAAGACCCTACCTCGCTTACGCGATTCAAGGCAGCCTCTCCGAAAAGATGTCACCCTTCATGCAGCCAATCCAGCTTCATGTTTTGATTCGTGTGTCAAAGGCCCTTTCCGTTCAATCCCAACATCGATATCTTTGGTCATGTATTGATCTACACTCTTAGTGCATAAAGCAAGGCTAGTATAGAGTACAAGACGGAAGCCCTTGACTAGCGTCTCTAGAATAGCAGCGGCGGACACCTCAATGATGAGAGTAGTCACACCCGGAGTTAACGCTAGAGCGGTTTGGTTCTAGGCCGCGAGTGCTTCCGCAAGCACAGGGACGTATTGAATGTTGAGTCCTGCGTGGACGGCGGCCTCAGCGATGTTGACGCCCTCGTGTTCCTTGATGTAGTTATTCAGAATTGTGCTGTACACGGTTGTGGCAACCGCTCCGCCGACCGAACGGCAGGTATTAAAGAAGGCAGTGGCTATGCCAATGTAGGAATTTGGGAGAATGACCTGGACCATTGTCGCTGTGACCATTCCTGTAGCGGAGGAAAAGGCACTGACAAGGACAGCTCCAGCCACGGTAGCAACGTAAGAGTCGGTAGCTGCGATTTAGTAGTCAGAGGTGATGAACGCTACATGATGAAGATGCAACATACCGACAAGGGCTCCAATACCAGTGCCAAGTACAATGCCCGCCAAACACACCGTTAGAAACCATTTAGTGTGGCCCGTTTTCTGCAAAATGTACCCCGCAATAGGGCTGAATAGAAGTCCACCTATACCTGCTGCACTAGAATACCAACCAATGGTGGCCGTATTTCTAGTAAACAGATAGCAAACCTCCTGAGGAAGCAGTACTACTGTTGAAAAGTAGGCCATTCCGTACATCGTGGTAGCTGCAGTGACCATCAGGTAGTTTCTTCCATTGGTGAAGAGAGCGGAGGGCGGTATCGGGTAGGGAATTTTAGCGTACGCCCCATAGAGGCCAAACACGATCAGTAAGACCCCTCCTACAACGATCATAGAGATAACGGTGGCACTTTTCCTGATCGTGTTCATTAGTGCCATGCTTGCATGGAGGATCGGGCGCTTACCAAGGATATTGGAGACCGCCGAACGATATTCCTACAAGAAACAACAGCAATCCACTGAAGAGAAAGAAGATACCTCCGTGGTCTATCTCTTTGAGGTGATGCTAGAACGTCTTTGAAGGATCGTCCAATCAATGATGTGTCGGATGATAGAAGAAGAAGACAAGGACAAGGGAAATGACGTTCAAGATAAACGAAATCCACAGGTCCAAGCGCCAAGTTGCGTAAGTTGCAAGCAGATTAGCTGGAGGGAGAGGAACGTTAGCAGTTGTTCGGAAGGAGGACTAGTCTACTTTAACATACCAATGACGGGTCCAAATGTGCCGGCCAATCCAGCAGACGCCTCCATTATTCCAAAAACTACGGGTCGGTGCTTCTTCTCCACAAGCTCCCCAATTGCAGCCCAAGACAGACTGTAGAAAGAGTAGATGATGCCAAGAACTGCGCTACCTCCAATGAACATAGGTACCGATTTAGCGTTGGCACATATCGCAGCACCAAGTATCCCAAGAACGGCTCCAATTAGGATGAAAAGACGACGTCCATATATATCGCTGAGACGGCCCAAAGCAACACTCGGGATTCCGCCAGCCAGGACTTGCGCCGTAGCCATCCTGGTATAAGATTCAGAGGGCCTAGAGAGACAACGTAAGCCATGAGAACATAGAGAGTCAGGACGTCTATTCATACCTAGATCTTCGTTGATGACGGTGATTAGATTGGATATTGCGAAAACCGACCAAATGCACGAGAAGAAGCAAATTCCAATTGACTGCGGAGTAAATTGTTAGTACCCCATATTCCTTCTTTATCAAAAGCCGACAAGCTCACAATGATAGCCATGAAACGTCGGAATGTCATTCGTGTATCATCGTTATTGTCTGAGCTATGCACTGTAGATGAACCAAGGTCTTCGACATGCTGAGGATTCTCTCTGACTTTCTCTTCGAGTTCTTTTCCGGTACGTATCGTATCTGGAGCAGGCTTTTTGGAAGTCTCCATACCGGGCAGTGTCTTGTTCGCGAGTAAAGAAGTGTTCATATGACGGACAAGGTTCCGTGTAGCTGTACTTATACCATATGACAGGTTCCGGAATTTCCATGAAAGCAGCAGTCTATGCCTAGTCCATGCTGTATGGAGACCTGCCCACCTTTCCAGGTAGTGATTCCGATGCACCGAGAGTGATCGGCTTCCCCATGGGGAGACCCTAGGAACAGGCCACTTAACAATCCGGAGTTCGGTTCGCTAGCAAGTAGTTAGTGTACAATGTGATTTGCAATACAGGCTCACGCTAAGGCAGGAGACTTACTGAGGGAGCTGATTCATGCAAGCACGGTGAGGGCACAGCCTGGCAAAGGTCAGAAGTCTAGGACTTGTGATAGGACGTTCAGTTGACTGGATGAGGAAGTGCGGAGATGGATGGACGGCGTTTGGAGGTGTTGGGTTCGAAGGAAATAAAGGTCTAGTCAGCTAAGCAACATTCCGAGTCGAAGCTGGCTGCTTTAACTGCTCCAAACATCTGCGAGACAGTCTCAAAGACCCACGAATGTTACCTAGTATGCTATTAGCCGCAATAGAGATGAGTTTATGTTGTTTTGTGGTGGATGGGGGTGACAGAAGTGCCCAGGTGTGAAATGAGGTATCTCGTTCGCACATCGAGCCAAAGCAGAGCGTCACATGATGCATGAACTCTACGCATGGAGCAATCCAAGGGTGATGCGATCGACCAGATCCGCGAGTCTTTCCTCGACCTTCGTACATATCGCATCAGAAACGGCCTGTGGGACAATCTGATTATGGCGCGCTAGAGCCGTAATTGGTCTTGTGATGGGGGGGGAAACCACATTACGTCAGAAAGGAACACTCAGATTTGAGGGAACCCCCTTGTGCCACCGGAATCGAGCACCCAGATCAGGCAAAACTCCATCATGCCGTCATAAATGGATGAGGTATGCAGCACGGGTGCTTTGCAACAAAATTATGTTGTACAGGGGTGTGCGGAATCGGGTCCAGCTAAGATTCGACTTTTTGGAGAGAAAACATCAAAAGAAACCGTTCGCGCGGAGCAAAGCTTCCCTTTTTGATCTTTCTTTCTTCAACTAATAGCTAGAGCTAACATCAATGAGTGGAATATTACCTCTCCTCGACTGCGAAACGGGACTAAGATTACAGCTGCCTGTCTAAAGTATCGAATCTGAGCCGGACGCTAGGTTCGAATAATCCTGTAGGGCAAGAGGCAGAATGTGAGCATACCTAACCGTTAGTCAGTCTCAGCTAGAATCATCCCCTAGCAAAGGGGATAGTCCGACAAAGCCCGGGAAGCTCTGTGAAGATGTTGGGAGCATACTCAATGGCAGGCTGTGAGCAAGCCGCTCAAGCCATGTGACCCTGATCTCCTGGCATCCATCCACATTACCTCCAGCGACTTTATCCTAAAAGCCACCAGTACGTCTTCATTGCCCCCTTCTTCCGTTTCAGAGACCCACATCCTGACTAGTGGTCCATTCCACAGATTGAAACGGCCATTGGGCCTCCATGACTGTCCCGCCCTCGATCGCAAACTCCCAATCATCGTTACAATCGAGTGGATCACGTCCGCATGAGGCCTCCTCATCTTCATCCACTAGGACATCGACTCTCTACGCACACGTCGCCAGACCTAGAACTGGTTCTTCCTAACCAACAGCTTGCTATGCCACTGACTAGAAACGGCAGGGGACTGGGATCGAACATTTACTGCCTAATTCTACAATAACATCGAGCAAACCTTCCACCTTGACCGCTTCACCGAGTCTGCTAGCATCCGGGGCGGCCACGACAACGGCGAAGAAGAAGAAGAAGAGTCGGACTTTTATCCATGATCTAAGGGAGGGACAGAGAGAAATGCTGGGAAAACTTCAAAGGACGGAGAGACTTAGAGAAATAGTGAATTTGTTTTGAATTACACTGATAATGTGGAAAACTCCGAACGTATATGTTGGACAAGAGCTTTCGTTCTTCCCGTGCCGCCAGAACTTGATTTTAGGATTCCAGTGGGTGTGCCCTCGAAAACCCATCTTACATCTAGACGAAGACCGGTAATATGTGAGATTATGTAGCAGAGACAACTTACAAGAGCATAAAAAATTGCCCGCAAGAAATCCCACTCCGTATTTTAGACCACTAGCAAGTGATAGATCAAACCGCACTACCCACCCCAGCCCCACAGACTCCAAACCATCTTATGTCGTTTATTCGAACCACCCTCCTGAATTTCCGTCCCCTTCTATTTCACAACTATACCCTATTCTTCTCCCCTACTTTTCTATCTTCCCACCCCTCCTCTCCCAATCCAGCCAACTCCCCCGATACTCCCCAACCCTCTCCCACCCTCCCTGCCTCGCCAACTGCGCCGCCGCCGCACTCCTCACCCCGGCCTTGCAATAAAACACAACCTCCTTCCCGATATCCGGCTTCTGGAACCCAAATCTGTCCTCAAACTCATCGGGCGGCAGGAACAGCGCGTCGGGCTGCGAAGAGATGGGGAGGTTCAGCGCGGTGGGGATGGCGCCGGCGGCGAATTCGGGGGGTTCGCGAACATCTAATGGAGAGCGTTGGGTAAGCTTGCGGGCTTGGTTTGCGGAGAGGAGGGGAGGGGGTTGAAACTACCTATGAGCACGACGTCCTCGTCATCCTTCTCTATTAGTTTTTTCACGTCTTCGAAGGCGTAGGGTTTGCTCTTCTCGACTGGGGAGGAGTGCCACCGCGCCTGGCTCAATGGCTTGAGCGCTGGGTTGAAGGTCGGTGGAAGTGCAGCGCTGGTTCTGGTTGGGAGGAGGAACTGCGGGCGAGCGCGGATGGAGGATGCGGAGCGTAAGGGTAAAGCGAAAAGAGCGCGTTTGGAAGCCATCGGTAGCGTTCAGTATGATTAGAAGGGTTGGTTGTGTTAATAGGGTAGGTAAGTGTTGCAATTAAGATGGCGGTAGTCAAGTTCGGCCGGAAAGAGCCGCGGCAATCGACGTCACGACCAAACGTGTGGAGGCGCTTCGAATTTACCAAACGCCCGAAGGCGGGGTGATTTAAATGTATGGGCTATACGGAGTATATACCCTTAGAGCGGAACCTTTCAGTTTTCACATGCTATGTAACAGTGAGGTCTGTGTCATATTTCATGTTTGGCGGGGTTTCTTTCCCACAGGTAGGGCACGACAGAAAGGTCAAATTCATCGGCACGTGATGTCCAATCTAATGTATATTCGTGGGTACTTGTTCAACTTCCTCCTTTCCACCTCTTTAGTCTCAATCTCAATCTTTGTCAGAAGTATATCCATCCCGAGAGAGCATCATCTACGTCCACACCAGCTAACCCAGTACCATCTCCAACGCATCACACTTCACCACTATTCCAACCCCCTCCTTCACCACATCACCATCCACGCCCCAACTTGACGTCGAATCAGATACAGTACCAGCATACACCAAAGAGGCCAAACGAAAAACACATCCAAAAGCAATGGTATATTTCTTTTTGCGCCATGGGGGAATCATCTCATCTCTCTTGATCTCTCAAACGCCCTCGAGTAACAGCTAATTAAGGAAAGCAAACCAACACAACCACACCGCGACGACAGGAACAAAAACGAAAACCAAAAACCACGGAAGCAAGAAGAAACAAAGACAAGAACCAGCAACAACTAGCTTTTCGCACTTGTTCGCCGGTTGGGTATATTTCTTTTAAGAGTCATCGAATCGGAGAGTGGGGTATTTCGTTTGTTCGTGATTCTACTGAGATGGAAATCCGTGAAACTTTTTAACGGGGAGGGCCAATAGGGGCCGGGTATCCAGATGCAGAATGAGACGTGCCAGGGCGTCCGCTATCAACGGAGCCCCGCGGGTCGTACCGCGGCGTAACATCGCCGGGTATAGTGGAAGAGCTCGAACCAAAGGGGAATTTGTTCTCGAATCGCGGAGCTGGGACTGGCCAGCCGTTGGTGTGGTGTTCTTCGTCTGGCAAGTTTATGCCGCTGTCGTTCCAAGGGTTGCGGTAGCCGCTGCCTTGGGACTCGATACTGGCAAGCGATGCCTTGGACGCGTTGCTCGAGGCATGCTTGAACAATGAACCAGGAGAGTTTGAACCGTTTTTACGGCGCTCGAGAATAGAAGTAAATGAGGACATGCTTCCTGGCTTGCGGAGACGGTCGAGGAAACCAGATCTTTCTGTAGGGTCATCGCCAAAATGAGACCGCGTGGGAGAATCGGTGGTTTCGACCGGAGGTTCCGCGCGTTGAAGCAATTTCGATTCAAAAAAGGGCAAGGACTCTTCAAACGAGTCGGACTTTGGGCGTGGGATAGCGCCTCTAATGGTATTAGCATCCAAGCCATGCATAACCAATTGATTGACTAAAAAGTCGATGGCGTCTTTCAGGCCACCAGCGTTGTTGCGGGTGTAGGCCATTTCAAGCGACTCAAATTGTTGATCGGTTCCGTCGATCGTTTCGTTTTGAGGCTGCTTGAGACGCAATTCGACTACGTATTGATCTTTCAATTTCACCAAGACATCTTGTTGGAATTCTGCAGATCGTATATACTCTCCTAATTTAGGACTAGTGGGGAAAGCAATTTCATGCTTCTCTGGGACCATGCCCTGAATTATTCGTCAGCTGGGGATGCTTGGGATTGGAATTCATTCGCCATTACCAGGAATTCATCCACTGCCAAGGGGACCTGGTATTCGGGTCCCGAAACAGTAACAATATCGCTCGCCTGCTCTGTGCTTGGGAAGGTGATTTTACAATTGTACTTCTTCTCAAGTTCATCAATCTTGTCCATATGGGCAATGAGGTTACGATGGTAGAGGCGGTTGATGGGGACTTGTTCCGAAACAAATTCAGCATCAACCTTCTCAACCATGTCCATGATCTCTTGCTTGACAAGATCGAGGTTCTGCGCATTGCGCGCAGGGGTGCGGCAGATGACGTTGTCAACTTTCATGTCGTCCTCTTCTTTGCCAAGGCCACCACGGTCCATTGCGTTGGAGAATTTGACGAAGACCGAATACTTCTTCATAATTCGTTGAATGTGTTGGCCGCCGATGCCGATAATGCGCTTGTGGTATTGGTCAGGGACATGGAAGGCGATAGCGGCAGGCATCTCCTGTTCGACCAAGTCCAGTCCGCTCTTAGTTGCATCGTACTGCGCACCACGGACAACGATGTAGAAGTTGTACTCGTTGAAGCCATCGAACACGATCTGCACGCTGCTGTGACCCATGATTTTGTTGATCTTGCCGTTTTTCTTGCCGCTGACAAATTCCTTGTGCTCGTTGGCTAGTTCGATCTTGACGCTCATGTTGTACTGCGATTTCTTCACAAATGGAATATTGTTAATGACCATCATAGCGGCCTTCACTGCGTCATCGGAGCCATAGATGTGAAAATTCAGTTTCTCGAAACTGATCTCGGCACCGGAATTGATGCAAATGTCTGACAACATTGCACGGACGTCGCTTGGGGTCGGGGGGCGCTGTGTAGGATCGGGATGGGTGATGAACCATGAGGCGCTGTAGAATTGACCAGCCTAGATAGGGTTAGATTAATTCCTTGCTTCGATCGTAGAGATACATACCAAAGACATCATCTCCCGCACGGTACGCTCCACAGCCAAGACATCGCTGCCTTGGACTCGCAGCAGACCGCGCTGTTCACCAAGTCTCGGGAAGAGGACATAAGTGCCGTTAGTTTCAATAATCTTGCGAACCTTATCGAGGCGTTCAAGCAGGATACTGTCGATCTTGGTTTCTGTGAGTTGGACGGGTTTCATGTAGACCTTTGTCGCCAGAACTAAATCGTGAAGCTTCGCCTTGGCCAGACGGATGTCGTCCATTGTCTTTCCGGTGATGTAGATCAAGTCTTCCGGTCGGCGTTCAGCTTCTGGTGGAGTGTAGCCGAAGACGCGGGGGAATGGAGGCGGGAAGTAGATCGCGGTGCCTGTGGCAGACTCGATGAGTTTGATATGTTTCCGGGCCCGTCCGCATATCAGAGTGTGCATCGATAGTTCGAGTTTCAGTTGATCCACGTGCCGATGAAGCTATGGCGCGAAATTAGCAAGTTTTTGTGTGTCGATGACGATGGTGGGGATAGTTACAATTTGGTCAATCAAGATCAGAATGCGAGTCTTTGCGTGCTCCATGGTCTCCAAATTGCCATAAATAGCACATCTCAGCCGAGAGTCCAAGCCGGTCTCCAGATTGCCGTTGAAGCTCGCAGACTCGATGTCCTGATTCTTCGGCATGAGCACGAAGATGTCGGCCTTGGTAAGTTTCGAGATGCGATCTAGTTGGTTGAGTACCAGGGACTGTATCGACTGAGACGGACCGTCAATGATCAGATCCGTGTCGATATCGACGTGCGATGATCTCTAGCGGTCCAGCACCGTCAGCATTTATTGGTAGCGACGAGGGCAATATTACGCACCAGCGAGATGGGGCTTTGGTTGAGTATCTGACCCCGTACTGCGGTGACGAGCTCCAGTTCTCCAGAGAGGCAGACGTTGGTGACCAAAGCCCGTAGTGGCCCTCGTTGCAGACCGGGCAGCGGCTTTGGCTCCGACGAGACGACAGTCGCCTGCAAGCGGCCATCGCTGGTGTCGCTCAGCTCGCGACACAGCATGCGTAGGTTCTCGACATTTTGAGCGTGCACCGGGAGTTTGTGGTTCGGGGTGCCCTCAGCCGACCCTTCCGGGTGTGTCCAGCGTGCGCTCGCTCCCGGGCTCGCGTACATGATGTCGTCGAGGTCGGGCCCGGCGAGGTTCGAGTTGAAGGGCACATTGAAAGAGCAGTTGACCTGGGTGCCCGGCGGGATGGCCGGCGGAGCAGTCGGCTGGGCAGAGGGGCGTTTGGTGGGCGTGGTGATGGGCAGGTCGTGCTGGTTGGTGGACCTGGACATGCCGAAGCCCATCGAGGGCGTCATCTTCTCCCAGCCGTGGCGGGCCTGCCCTGTGAAGTTCGAGATTTTGTGCATTGCGGCGAGAGGAGCCCTAGAGGAGGTGGGCGTTGATGTCGATGAGTGGAGTGGAGTTGGGGGGAGAGGCCAAGATACACAGGTGAACAAGTCTTGGCCGAGCGAGTTCTGGAAGGAGCCAAGGAGCCCTAGGTCAAGTGGAGCTAAAGGCACTCAACCTTGCCTTGGAAAAGGCCCCAGGCCTAGCTGCGTCAGGTGCTGGTGAATATTACATGCAGCTATTTGCAGTTTTATGGAACCAATATCGCAGCACGAGTGGACAGCAGGTGAAGAGCAGAGCGAATACCGAGTGCAGACAGTCAGTGCTGAGCCAACACCGAGTGAAGAGCAGCGCGAATACCGAGTAAATAGCACAGCAAATATGTAACGGCACAATGGAAAACAGTGGCATGGCAGCACCGGATTCATGTCGAGCACACGAGCGGCATTGATACACCGTATGGCTATTTGCAGCCATCTGGACCGGCCGGAGCTGGAGCCGGTGAATGGCTGGGGGGCGCTGCGAGACACCAGGACTCCCTCCTCGCAGCAGCCCGCGGCCCTCAATGACTGACCCGGCGCTCGCGGACGGGACTGGCGCGTCATGATGCAACGGCCAGCGCCAAAGCCAGCCAGACGGGCGCCCGGACAGTATTAGGGGAGCGCCAGCGCGAAACAAAGTGGCTGGGTGAATGCTGGGGACGTGGACAGCTGGTTCTCGAGCGCACTGCAGTTCGTTCCGATCCACATGCTGCATCTGGACAACAGAGATTCAATATTACAGGGATACCTGTGCTCACCTCGACACAGCCCTCGCACCGACATCGAGGGCCGTGGGTCGAGTAAGCAGGTCCCGCCTTTCCGCGCCGCGGACTGTGCTGGCTCGTGCAGGGACAAGCTGTCCGGCTGGCCAGGGAGCTTTGGACATTTTCGTGAATAGCTAGTGATGCATTACGTAGGTCAAGGAGGTGGCGTTGGGTAGTTACCTAGGTAAAAGGAACAACGTGGGTATATTGAGACTAACCCGTTGCAGCAACTGAAGTAATAGTATGGTCCTTACGAGGATATTACCTAGAACTGTTCAACATGTCATCAAAATATCGACAAACACTGCTGTCGTTCAGTAAAGGCAAGGGACAGTATTCTACAGACGAACTGTTCGAAGCAAGGCTAAATGCTTCAGTCAGATTGATTGTGCATACTGCTATATATAGTTCCTACATCTTCCTGAATATAACAGAGGCATATGAACGCCATGGTATCATCCGTAACGACTGTAGACTTACAAGAACCCCAGCGAGCAGAGGACTACTTCCCATCCCTCAAAAACCTCTTCCGCCCCAACACATCCGGCATCTCCAACCTCCTGCCCTCCCCATTCATCACCCTCATCAAGCTCGGCCAAACAACCGGATTCTCATCCCCCATCGCCACCGCCAAAGTGCCCTTCCCCTTCCCCGCCTCCTCCTTCCAGTCAAACTGCCAAAAACACGGCTGGCTAAACAGCAAAAACGCAAACTTAGCCCCCTGCCTCATTATATCCCTCAAATCCGTCAAACAACGCCCATAATAATAGCTTTGCATGGACCATGATGACACGACGCTGAATTCCAAAGCAAGTACAAACCCAAAGCAGCATGCATAGTCTCAGTACAGGTGCATGCCTGACATCTAGCAGATCTTCATTATATTTCGGCAGACACCGGTCGACCTTTTGACCTAGATGAAAAAAGTACAAAGAAATGAAAATTGGCCTCGCTTGAAACACGGTGATTTGTTCGCGGCTGAAATTGCCGAAAGTGGTACTTCGGGCACGATTGGTGAGGCGACGAGCTGTTTTAAGTATCTCAGCCTGCGTCGTTTTTACCAAGACGGCGTCGACTAAGGTAGGCTATAACACGCTCTATGGAGTAGTCAATCTAGTAAACGTGATGGATGTGGTACAGGCAAACCTTTCATTAGAAAGTGGTATCATTAGCAACATTAGCGGTGACAATGAGAGTGGTAATTACACAACAGAGCATGTCTCAGTGAAGCTTTTTGGCTATAAACAGCGTGGTTAGTAAACCGGCCAATCCTCAATCGGATTGACGGTCGGTTTATTAGTATAGACTCTAGATAATCCAATCAATCAATCCTCTAGCCAATCAAACCTCAAGCGGAGATTGATCCGATTGATCCGATCGGTGTATACAAATCGGAAAGGATGCGTACGGACGTGATTTTTATGGATTTTTATGGATTTTTATGTGCATAACTTCGTCATATAAGCTCAATACGCCCATGGATGAGGCTACGGAGTGCCCCAGAGTAGAGGGCAACGTGAGAGTACCATGGTGGTGAGGTTCTAGGTGAGGGGGGGCTCAGGATGTCGCTTGGGAACGTCGGGCGGAGTACCAAAGGGGGCGCATTTTTGAGGTCTAGAAGACCCAATGGTTCGCTTCAAACGTAATTCGACCCGTAGAAATCGATTCCCGTTGTCCGTTTTGAGCTCATCTCGTCATGGTGGAGTGCTAGAAGGGGGGGCTGGGCCGTGGTTGATGAGGCTAGCAATACGTGTTCTCCCGCCTCCGCCGGCGGAACCTCGGGGCGGCAGAACGCCGTGATTCTATTGGTTCGTTAAGACACGGTGAGGGCCTTAGCGCACAGATCTCTTAGCGCGATCGTATTCACTCATTTGTCAATCTGGATCAAACCGTTCAAACCAAAATTCTAATCAATCCAATCAATCAAGCTTCATTCTATATATAACAACCCAATCAATCTGCTCTCTAGTTGAGCCGGCCGCCGGTTTAGTAACCCCGCTGGCTATAGAGTAGACTATGGCATATATGAGAGGCGGCAATACTGTCGAAGAAACAGAAGCCTGCCTTCTTCAGGCTTCAAAACGGCTCATTATGGTAGTTACTCTCTACATTTATTGTGCAGTGATAAGACGGGCCACGTACAAAAATCGAAGGCCGAACGCTGTTGCGCAAATTGCCCCAGGCCACTTATTGTAACTGAGCGAGACGGGTCGAGAGCCAAGTTCATGATGTAAAAACTCAGCTGTCTCTCGAAAGTGGGCCGACTTTGATCTGGTCCCTCATCTGCATCTGTGACAACTGCATCTTCTCTTGACTGCGTTGGGCCAATCGCTTTTGCGCACTCATTTTCTCGAACCTACCCTTAGCCCCATGCTTCATCTTCGTAATCATATCCCCAGCTTTGCCTTTGGTGATTGTATTTGTGGTTAATTGGTTGTCCTTGGAGCGCATTTTGTTGAGGAAGTCAACTTGGGCTTGAGAAGCTGGTTTCCGTCGCCAAGCCTGGCTTTTTGAGATGAACATAAACTCAAACACCTTTATTGCGTAGGTGTCCGCGGCATGGACAGCGTGCTCAAAAGTATGTGTCTGAGCAATGACTCTTGGTGTTGCAAATGGACTTTTTGAACGGATTCCCTCCGGCAGCTTCTGGGTAAACTTGACAACGAAGCGACTCCCATCGGGTTCTAAAACGAGATAGCTGCCAGTCCTCGTCGTCAAAACGTATTTGCCGTCTCCTACACCAACCCACGCATACGGACTAATAGCACGAATGAATCGTTCTTCAGAAGTATCTTGAATGAGGTCGTGTACGGAATCGTAATCGGTAAAAGTGACCCGTCCAGGAATACTTTTCGCCGTTTTTGACGTCTGCGACTGGAGCGCCTCTTGTTCTCGTTGCTGTTCCTTCTCTTTCCGCTCGCGAAGCTCTATCATGTCCTTAGTCCCGACGTCTTCTACAATTTCTGCTGGATCAAGCCCAAAGAGCGTAGGGGTCGAGACGATTCCAGCGTTGAGTGATGCGACCATATCAATTACGTGACAATTATGTTTTCCCTTGTGAAGGCGCATTCCTCGGCCAATCATCTGCACAAGCAGATTTCGGGACTTTGTGGGTCGGGCAAGGAGCACGCAGTCGATGTTGGGAATGTCAGTCCCTTCAGTGAAGACGCCGCAATTAAGCAGCACAGGGAACTCTCCATTCTTGAAGGCATCGACCCTCTCACTGCGCACTTTCTTTGGCGTATCTCCAGTTACAAATCTGGCGTCAAAGCCATGCTTTCTGAAGGTAGAAGTGAGGCTAGAAACGTGACTCAGATCAACGCAGAATACCAGCGTTGATTTCCTCTCTTTTGCCCGGGCCAACCAGGCTCGAACAGTAATCTCATTAGTCTCATCTGTGTTGATAGCCCGTGAGAGAGCACCGGGTTGAAAGTCACCTGTGGCGCCAGACGAAACTCGCGAAATATCGGCTTTGGAGTCTACAGTGGTGAAAGAAACGTCTGAAAGCCAGTTCTCCTCGATCATGTCTACATAATCTCTGTACAGGGTCAGCAACATTCCACCGGAGTTGACGAGCATCTGCGCACCTGTGATAAACGATATGATCGATTACACTACCCAAACTCTTCCCGTCAAATCTTGAAAATGTAGCAGAGACTCCAACAAGCGCTGGGACGGACGTCTGGGCCCAATCCACCGAATGTCGCAGTCCGAAATGTTCCAAAACGTCTAGGTATTGACTGCTGACGATATGATGGGCTTCATCCACAAGTATCAACTTGTATCTTGAGGGATCAAACTTGAGGATGCGCTCCCCAGAGTTGATGCTCTGTATGGATGCCACAGTTATATCGGCAGCCCCAGAAGCATGGCTGGCCCCCATTTCAACATCGATCGACTTGGACGGGTATGCGAGGATGCAATGACGCGCCGCCTGCTCCACCAGCTCTCGGCGATGGGCGAGAATAAGGGTCTGGTCGGCATCGTTGGCGGATGGGATACGATTTATGAGATGAGTGAAGATGACCTACTTGAACGTCAGTGGGATTAAAGTACCGGAGAAGGCTTAACATACTGTTTTGCCGCTACCAGTCGCTAAAGAAATGCCGAGTCTTTTGTGCCCTTTTTCCAGATTTGAGAGGACTGACTGAATGCAATCTTCCTGGTAACTACGGAGTGTGATTTGCAGAGCTGGAGCTACACCCGGCGTCACGACGCTCGCAACGGCGGAAGTCGATGTACATCTAAAGAAGCGGTGGACGGGCTGAGACCCTGTCCTCCTCGAGAGTTTCAGCGCATACTGAGAAAAGCGGAACATGAATAGCACGCGTCGGAGCCCATGGACGCGTGAAGTCGTGGAGAGGGTGAAAGCGGGAGAGACCTCCGAGAGCTCAGTCTTGGCATCAAAATCGCTTCCAACAAGTGGAAACTTAGTCTCGGCCACGCTTCTCCAACAACTTCACTTCCACGCCGAAATTTAGGACTTGGGTCAGGAAACCCAGTGATGGCTTCCGACGAGTCTGGGGATGACGATAATGATCAAGTAACTTCCGCCATAAACAGCTCCCAGCACTCCGACCCGGACGCTGATGAAGCTGATGACGAGCAAAGTCCACCTCCTCCCCAAGTCTCCATTGCTGCAGGCTCCGACCTCGCTAGCAGACGCCAGAAGCGGCATAACAAGGTGTCGCCTTGGATTGCCTATCGGGTGTCGAGATATCGGGCGCTAAAAGGACTATACAACGACGATTACCGTATTTGGTTGAACAAGGAAGTGAAGGCAGCGGCAGATCCTTATTGCCTAGACGAAGATGTACATCTACAGGGCTCACAGATTGGTGCGTCACGCTGGTCTGGTGAAGAAAAAGAAGTCTTTTACCGCGCACTCTCAAGATGTGGACAAGACGATATCCCAGCAATCTCCAAGGCTATCAAATCCAAATCAGAGATGGAAGTTCGAGATTACTTTTTGCTGCTCCAGGAGAACTTCATTCAACGTCAACTTAATGCGCCGCAGCTTACGCACGCCGTTGCATTACGAGACATACCAGCCGCTGTCGAACTGGGCGAAGAGTGCCGCAAGCCCCTGGACCTTGCCGGAGAAGCAGTAGCCTGGTACCAGGAGAATTATGAGGCGAAAGAAGAACGCAAAAAGCATGGAGACTATTGGTTACTCGATTCAGATTTGGCGTCGAAAATTGAAGACGCTATATCTGAGGAGCCCGAGGGTGACACAGATGCATTCGTCACAAACGAAGGAAGACGGCAGCATTCGGATTTCGCTGAAGAGGCAATCAAGGCTAAACCCGAGTCGTCCATCTCATCGCTTCTCTCTTCGATCCCAGCAGCTCGTCTTCTGAAGCCAAAGAAGTGGCTAGCACTTCAAAAAAACGTATTTATGAACTCAAGGCGTAAGTGGGAAACGGATAACTGGCGTGATCTCGCTGGCGTTGACGAGGAGCCATCCATGTACTATACTGCGTTCCATGATTTTCACCGTTTGACTGTCAGCATCACGCGTAGACTTGTCCATGCCACGATGTTTGAGTCCTCATCGAGACTTAGGGCGCAAGATCAAAGAAATACACGTTCGATTCCAAAGGTCACGGCAAGAGATGTTGAGACTGCACTTGAAATACTTGGGATGGCACGACATTCAAGAGAATACTGGGTCAAGGTGCCACGTCGGTGTGGCCTCTATGTCTTCAACAAGTCTACCAGATTTCGGAGACCTCGTATGAAGTACGATGACGTCGAAAAAGAGTTGGGTATACCATGGGCAGTTTCAAAACCCATGGGTCAGCTTCTTAAAATTACACCTAGGAACGTACCTTTTGGTGCCCGCACTGCTTACCAAGAGGAAACTAACGAAGAAGCCCCCGAAAATCTCCAAAATCAAGAAACTCAAGAAACACACGGATCCGAGGAAGATTATGAAGATCAAGGAGATCATGAACCGGACATAAGCTCCTCGGAGTCTCATGATTTTGTCCCTGATGACATTGACGCCATCCCCGGACGGGCCCGTCGGCGACAACGTAAACGCCAAACGGTTGAACAAAGTCAGATTCATGAAGCTGAGCGGGTAGATCGTCAAGCAGCTGAGCTAGAAGAGCAGCGTATTCGGGAGATGCTTGGCCTAAATGACGCGTCAAACATTAAATCCGAGGAGGACGAAGTACCACTTGCTCTAATCGAGCGCAAAGAGCTCAGTGAACTCGTAGACTGGAGAAGCTGGACCCACTATCACGCGGAGTGGGAAGGAGCCAACGACTGGAGGGAAGATAATGATCCGTCAGGGTTCGAAGAGAGACCGTCCAAGCGTCTTCGCCGGGCATCGTTTAACGATATCGTATCTGAGGATAGCGATGATTTCGCGGGCATCTCGTATGCCCGCCCCGAGATGAAAGTAGAAGAAGATGCGGCGTTGGATGGCAAACCAGACCTGGAGATGCATGACCATGAGAGCAACGCAGAGCCTTCGGACATGGAACAGCAAGGTAACCTCTCGAAAATGTCGGAAGATGGCACGGAAGGGACTTCATCACACGATAGTGCCACACTAGCTCCACAGCCTCCGCGACCTCCACGCAAGGTCCCTCTCCCAAAAGGTATCGATGACGGTACTAAAGAGGGCCCAATCGATGTCGATTCGGATATCGACGCTGTGAAGGAAGATAACTCCGACGAAATCTTATCAAGCGACTCCGAAGAAGATATGAGCAGTGAACACTAATACAGAATCTTGATTTGCATTGTATCGTTCAATATAGCAATTGCCTGAGTGCTGCTTTTGTGATGTTTCTTGAAGATCCTTCAACGTAAGACCGCAGCATTACTCATTCGTTCCTTAGGCCAAACTCATACGAATCCTGTCAAATCCTTCTTTTCTAAAAATTTCACTACAGCCCAACTTCCATGCAACAACTATGTTAGCATATTCAAAGAAAGCGTTCAGCGCTTAACTTACCCATTCAGCCAACTCGATACGCATCCTATTGTCCCCACCACCGCGGTTTTTGCCGGGCCGCTCGAACCCCATGAGTCGAAGATGTATTGCTAGAATAACACGTTCGGCTTATGGACGAGAAATGCTGCGTAAGAATATCTTGCCAAATTGCCCCATTTCCTGTTCGCATACTTTTCGAATAGCGGAGCAAGAACAGAAAAGACTAGCAGACCAGTGCTCTCATTCAAAACAGCGTAACACGCAGCAAGCGGATTGCAGCCTCCCAGCGCGGTGGTCAAAGAGGATTTCGTTGGATCGAAATGGGGAAATAGCAGCAAATATATGGAACCAAGTATGGTCGTTGTGACGGTTATGAGAAAGAGCCTGTAGCGCGTCTCGGCAGTGATTAGGGCAGATAAATCCAAAGATGCGAACGCGATGCCAGTGCTGTAGGCAGCTATGTATTGGGGAAGGTAGCCAACATTGAGTTGGAAATACTGGAGATGCCGATCGCAGGGGTAATAAAGGCGTGTGAAGAAGCTCGCGGTTGAAACTAATCTGAGAACACCGAGTGCGCTCAGTTGATTGGGAGCTTTGATGGATTCTGACTCGATCGGACGCTTTTCTTCTTCCTCTTCCTCTCTTTTCTCTTGGTCTGGCAAATCAAAGTCCCCTGGCCTGGATGCAGCATATGCCACGTCGAAAATCAGCAGCAGGGCACAGTACCACACCGGTCCTCTCACACCCTTCATCATCCCCCGTATATGGAGTCTAATGATTACGAAGATACCCTGCCGAATCCGGTGGAAAGATACTATTATCAACCACTCCAACATTGGCCCAAAGAGCGAATACGCCATCGTTGGTACTCCGAGCCGCCTCCATTTTTCGATCAGAAACGCGGATCGACTGCGCTTTCGTGCCGCAAGGGCAGAGAAGCGCCCGCTGAGGAGGAAAAAAGTCCCCATGAAGAAAGTTTGATTGATTGCATTGAAAGCAGTGAGGACGGGGGAGGAAAATGGACGGTGCTTTTGGAGGCATAGCCGCTCCAGCCGCCAGTTCCGCCATAGGCTATCGCATCATGGTGATATATAATGAGAATAGTCAAGAAAGTGAGTATATTGTCGATGTGATGAGTTCGATGACGCGGAATAGCCGTGGGCATGGATGCGATGAGATTATCAGAGAATGAGACGCTTTCTTTCAATATGTTTGAGAAGAGCGAGATTAGAATGTTCATACCGAAACTACGGAGGGGTCTCAATGTGCTGTGAAGGATGGCAGATGGAGCGCTCCGCGCGTTCCATATACACTGGACGAGAAATAGGCAGCAGCTTTCGTGTATTTCTATTCTACAGCCCCTGCTAATCACAATGCATGTTAAGAATCAAAGACTACCATTCGCATCCTCGGAAGTACGCGATACCCCTCTCGGGTAATTGTACGCGTGCAGTCGTCTGCTGCTGGACTGATAGAAATATTCAAGATTAATGTCCACATGGCTTCAGAATGCGTTGCTAACAAGCTAAACTATGAATGTCCTTTACATTTCCAATTCAGTCCTTCAGGTATCCACGTCGTTAGCCGAGCCCTTGTCCTTATTCTATCCTCTATCACTCTCCAAGGTCGGTTCTTAGGCGTTTACCTCCTTTAGACGTAACGAGATTTTTGAATAGGCCGATGGAGGGCCTGATGGTGCACTCATGTGCATGTGCTACTAAATGCGAATCTCCGCGTATACTAGTATGGAAGAAAGCCAGCTGTGGTGGCTAGATTACAGGGTGACTGGGAAGCGACTTTGACTTACTTTGAGGACTAAGTCCCTGGAAGGGTCGTTGCAGTAGACTTTACCAGACTCTACAGCGGTTTGTCTTCAATGGGACCTGGGGAGACAAGGCTGCTCCACGCTTCACGTCTCCGTTTCCCCATCTTTATATAGTCGGCCTTATCTCCAGAGCACCCAACGATCCCAGCACATAGACCCAATACGACCATCTAGGTTATGAAAGCAGAAATGCACCTTGATCTCCCAGTCGAGCTTCTTTAGATAGCCCTCAGCTTTCATGCGCAGAAGGACATTCAAAAAGCCCAATCCGTATGCCGCGGACTCAAACTGAAAGCCAGAAACCCCATAAGCTGCATATACATCTCTCCGAGCGGCACTAAGATCGACGTATTTCGGGGAGTCATCAGTCGCGCGGAGTTGAAGCGGGGGGTGGAAGAGATTATTTGTGACGATGCATAGAGCATGTGAACAAGAACAACATAAGCTGAAAACATAGAAAGGATTACTTACGTTTATTCAATCTACTTTCCATTCGGCGTATGTCTCTCAACAAGTCCTAGTCATGCTGGCGATGCATCAGCATGAAAATCTGTGTTCCTGACGCACAAGATTAATTCTCGGCGCAGGAGCTGAAAAGCCTCTTCGGCCTTCCACTCAACGCCTTTCTCTCATCTTCCGTGAGTACCTACCTCTCATAGGCCGTTCGTTATACCGCCCTATTGTCCCTACATGCTTCGATCGACCCTCGAAACATGCTCTACTTGATAATTAAGCACTTCGCCTCCGGCGACACTCTCCCCATCTACGGACGCTTCCAATACCACGTCTGCTTACCCTCGAAGGCTTTGAGTACGTTTCCAGCTGGGTCATCAACATTCTGACTTGTTGTCACTAAGTCATGGAGACTATGGGCCGGATGCTGCTGGACGAGTGGATAGTCAACGGGAAGTACATCGTGGACTTTGAAGTTGTGGAGGCCGTCGCTTCTATGGAAGCTCGCGCGAAGGCGTCGGGCGAGATTGACGGTCGATGCATGGGAGAATGAAGTGTAGTATGATAGCGGAAAGTTAAAGTAATTTTAGCGTGACGGTCTCCTGGTAGCCCTAGAATTCATCGCAAGACAGCTGTGCCACCCAGTCCACCGCCCCTCTTGATCATTGCACGTAGGCAGGTTTTATCCCGAGCACACGGGTCGGCGTCAACGTCGAAATTAAATCCTCTGTTTGATTTTTAACATTGCGGCGAGGCCCTCCGATAAGCACTTGTTACTCGTAATTAAGGTGAGCTGTGCAGGGATTCAAGGGCTCAGCGCTTGTTTTAATATAACATCCTGGAACTCCACAGCCCGAAAAGTGTTGGCGGCGTAGTGATTTTTGTTTCGAAACAGCAAGGCAGAGTCGTTCATGGTGACCTTCCCAGAACGGCATGTTCTGGGGAAAAGATGCCCTTGTCGAGGGTACCAGAAATCTTACGAAAAGTATCCTGACAAGGGCTACACGCATGCGCCCGACGAAAAGCAGTCGCCTACCTGGTGCGACAACGGAAACATGCGGGGAGATGTGGCATCAGGTGGCAAACTGAGCTCATGTGTACCAATGGTAGAATCACATGCGATCCGCCACTCAGACGCAGTCCGGGTAGGAGGGTAGCTCTACCTTGTAGGTATGATTGGGAAGGAGACAAGGCAATGACGGGCTTGTGTCGCTGCGTATTCTTCGGATTAGGAGAATGAAGAGCTATCGGTAGCGTGCAAGCAGCCGAAGGAGGAGGCGGTTGTATGTAGAGAGAGAGGTAGAGGACGTCGTGGAGAAACTAGAATACCTAGGTACCTCGTATTCCGTCGGCACTTCTTGAGCCATTCCACCCTAAAGGGCTCACTATACAGTCTTTGCGGAGGAAGAGCACCACCCTGAACGACAGCCTGCTTGACTCCCACACCACTACGAAGCCAGTACACTGCAGCATAGAGTGCCCATGCATCAAACATCCGACAGATGCAGCTGTCATCCTGCATGGTGAGCACGCTCCGCCGCCGTTGCCATTGGACCCACTGCCCAAGCCCAACAACACTGCGGCAGCGAGGCACTCCATGGCGTCAAACAATGCCCGATCCATCATGGCCATGCCTGTCTTTCTCGCCCAGCCGCATCCCTTGCTTAATAGACGCCGTTTCACTGGCCTTCGCGTGCGTCCTTCATTATTGCGGCGTGGACATCATCGTTACGGCGGTGCGGACGGACTATATTATTGCTATCGCCAAATCATAGACGCCGTGAACCCCCGGGATATAGAGTCATCTTGTTTCAAACCTCTCTTTCTTGTATAACTCTTACTATACCACTCAGACATTCTACACTCCACCACTCCCGCAGGAGCGAATATGGCATCCCCAGAGCCCCAACGCCAACAATTCTCAGGAGCCGGCCTCACCATCTCGCCGCGCCCAAGACAAGGCCCAATGCTTTCCCCTCATGGGCAGCCTCGAAATCCGGTGCCCCGATCTCCCAGCTCCACCAGTGATGGGATAAGCATCAGCTCACCCAGATTCGACAGCTCATCTCAACCGCCTTCTGCCGTTACATCTCCTACGTTCGTGGCGGAAATGCCACTAATTCCACCTCAGCCGCACTCGCCGGCGAAAACGCGATCCAGATCCCGGCATGGGAAGCGGTCCGGGTCGTCTCCCCCAGCTGGCCGCATTTCCCCAACACGCTCGACCTCTGACGAAGCGCGATCCCCTGGCTCCGTGTCGTTTGGTCAGAGAATGAGGGCAGTATGTGGCTGCTTCGGAACGTCTTCGTCGTCGTCGCCGCGAAAGCCGAGAGAGAAGATGGAAGTTGAGAAAATCGAACCAGTCCACTGGACGGAGCAATGAGCCGTCTATGTTCCTCAGAAGGAAGTCCATGCCGAATGGTTCTTTGTTACATTGGGGACTGGATTCTGGAGGTACTCGTTCTCGCATTTCAGCGTTGTTTTGACCGTGAAGGCCCCCAGCTGGTCTCATATATTATTGGAGGTTTGTTGACTTTGCGCGGCGTTTTGGATATCGCAGAACACGGAGACAGATGCTGGTCGCTCTTTTGTTGCTATATTCTCTCTTTCTGCTACCCTGCCATTAAAGCATTCAACCAGCCCTCAAGGCCATCTCATCGATGCGTCCAGGTGGGCCTCAACTGGCTGGACGCTTACACGATAACTCTCTCAACTTCCTCGTGATTCCGCCTGTCTGACACGTGCAGTAGCAGTCTTGTGAGGCACCGATAACCCGTCGAACAGAGCTGCGTATTGTTTTACGGTTGGAACACCTCTGTATAACTTTAAGGTACCAAGGCCCTCTGCCACTCTTTAAGTAGCTGTTAACAATTTGCTAGATCATGCTAAGATTGTGACGTTTTGGCTGGCGCAAATACTATGTACGCTGGAAAATAGGTGTTCCTTACGCTAGCGTCTGCGGTATTGAAATATTTCCTAGAGTTGCTCACCTGGGCACACCATTCTAGACATTCCTATTGTCTTATTCACCACCATTCTAGGTGGCGAACCCCGACTTTTATTCCACGGCCACTCCTTCAGCGCCCCACGACTGCACCTCTCTATCGAAAAAACACCAGCACCTCCACCTCAGCCAACCATCTCTACCTGACCACAACACCCATTTCATACTCAATTTACGATCGTAATGGCAGAGCATCGCGAAGCCATCAAGAACTCGGGCCCTCGCGAGCCCTTCACTCCTTCCACCGACCCGACTCCGCGGCGCGACCAAGCCTCTACCCCTCTCACGCCACCATCCAGCCTGCTTTCTGTTCAAGACTTCAATGCGCATAGAGACAGCATGCGAAAGAGCAGCACGTCGGGCCTTGGCCGTATCAAGGATATCCTGAGCGAAGTACTAAACCAGAAGAAAGAGGTGGAAGCAGCACTGAAACAGGCGACCGAAAATCTGATTGCCTGTGAGCTCGAGAAATCCAAGCTGGAAGTGTCGCTTGCGGCAGAGAAGGCGAAATTAGGCGGCGGTCAGGAAGATGGCGATAGCGCTGGTGCTCTCAGGGCGATGAAGGAGCAGTTGGACGAGGATTTGAAGAATCTCGACTCGAAGGTCGAGGAGATGAAGCAAGAGCATGGAGCAGAGATCCAGAAGATGGAGGAGAAGATCTCCGAAAGTGCAGAAGTGTCTGAGGCACTTCAGAACCGGGTCGACGAGCTCAAGGGTTCTCTCGCTCAGAAGGGCGCCGAGGCCGAGAGCCTAAGCCGCGAGCTCGCACAGCATCAGCGCCGTGTTGAAGAGCTCACCCAAAAGCTTACCACGTGCGAGGAGGAGCTCGCTGAGAAGAATGATACACTCGTCTTCTCGGAGGCAAGCGCAGAGCATACCGAGAAGCAGCTCGAAGCGGTCAAGAAGCAGCACGAAGCGGCCGAAAAGCGACACGAAGCGGCCGAGAAGCAGCAAGAAGCGAGCGAGAAGCAGCATGAAGCGAGCGAGAAGCAGCACGAAGCCGTTATCGCCGGGTTACAAACCAAAATTTCCCAGGGCGAAGAGGCGCACGGGGCGCTTCAGAGGGAGCTTGAAACGTATAAACAACGCATGGTGGAGGTTACCCAACAACTGACCGCGAGCGACGAGACCAACGCCAGCTACGGTGAGATGATGCAGTATCTGCAAGCGACAGTAGCAGACATGCAGAATCAGGTCCGGGCCAGTAGAGAGCTGGCACATCACGAAGCTCTTGAGGCCACCACCGAGGCTCCTGCGGCGACCGCACAAGCCAATATCGAGAAAGACAGTATAATCCGCGGCATGCAGGCGGAAATAGACGACCTCAAGAACCAGCTTAACCGTAATACCAACACGATATCGCAAGTTGAAAAGGAGCTCGAGGCTGCAACCGCTGCTGGGCAACGCAAGGATACGGAGAACGCAAAATTGGAGGAAGAGCTTCAGAAGGCGACGGCTGAGATCGCGCGATTGGACAAGGACTTACAAGCTGTGGGCGGGGGCAAGTCGATTCGCACCATCATCGGGAACCACACCATCGCCTACAACGAAAAGTGCCGCGAGTACGATACGCTTGAGCAGCAGCTGAATGATGTTCGAAGCCAGCTTAGAGTAGCGACCCAAGAGCGAGACCAGTTCAAAGCCGAAGCCGATAACAAGGAGAAGTCTAACCAGAAGGTGTACAACATGTTCCTGAACGAGCAGGACCGTTCCACCAAACTGGAGAAGAAGGTGAAGAAATTGGAGAGAGAGCGGGACGAGGACCTCACGGTACCGCCAGATTTCGATCCCGATGCAGCAGATGCTCAGTACGTGAGGAACGATAGTCAGGGCGCAGAGGTACAACATGAGGTGGATGAACCGGGCGTTTCAACAAGGAACTCGAGCACTCGATCGACTATCCATGTGGTACCCAAGCCAGCTACGGCACAGAAGACGTCTACCGCTACTTCCATCAGCAAGACTGGCAACAAGAGGAAGGCCAACACCTTGGAAGCAGGCGAACCGGACGCCAGAACCACAGCACAGAAGACGTCTACCTCTAATTCTACCAATAAGGCCGGCATCAAGAGCAAGGCCAACACCTCGGGAGACGGCGAATCTGACGCCAAAACCACAGCACAGAGGACGTCTGCCGCTACTTCCACCAACAAGGTCGGCAACAAGAGGAAGGCCAATGCCTTGGAAGAAGGCGAGCCTGACGTCAACATCCACAAGTTGCGAGCAGTGAAGAAGGCCAAGGGGCCCATCCGCACCAGGAGCGCTAGGGGATTGTGAAGGGGCTAGCGATTGAGATCGTTCCACTGTACGCAGGAAAAGAGGCTTATGGAACGGATGTGGTTTTGGTTATGGAGAGAGTTGATGATTCTACTGGATTCTACTGTTTTTACCTTCGGAAGACGTAAATATCCCTAGGAGCGAAAGTTTGCGAAATTCCAGTTTCATTACAGTCGTAATTTGATGAAGTCCAGTACGTGATTTGAACACCACTTGAAGCTGTGCAAAGTACTCGTGAAGTAGATATAACTAGACGCGAGGGTTGCTTACTAAGCTGGAGGGGTACTTCAGTGCCTCCCGCATCATCAGACCTCCTCCTTCCCATCTTCTCAACTTTCCTAACGACACCAAGAGTGATCTTCATCGCGCAGAGCCTTCTCAGGATGAATTTTAAGCATGCACAACTCTTGCACTCGATGCTATCCCAAACAGGACATCCGTTGGATGACAACGTGCGAGGAATTTGGAGGCCGTCGGATCAAGCCTCCGGTGCCTTCAACAGTTGATCGTTCCGCGATCTAGACTGCGAATGCATACACCGGAGAGTAAGGCCCATGAAGAAGTTTGCGCTCGCGACAAGGCCTCCTGCGACTTAACAGAATGGTTTTAGGACTCGAAAACCTGGGGCCTGACAGACACGTTGAAACCTGGCACCGAAGAGAACTATCTCATTGACTGAACCTTATTGTTGTACGAAGCTCTTTCAGAGGCCCAGGCATGAGGGTAGCTTACATCAGTGCTGGGTGGCTGACATGCCCATACCTAGTACAGATTGTGCAAGGTCCACTTTTCACTCGGTTCGATGTTCTGGGCTTTCAAAAGACAGGAAGCTATCTTGTAACGGCGAAACTTGACATTTGGTTTGTTTTTAACATGTGAGTCGCGTTTCACATACCTCAGTTGCGGTACTCTTCATCGTGACGCGTCAGTGTTGCCACGGTACTCCAACTCTGATACACTATCTGTGAAGTGTACTGCTGAGGATGGCCTGTGGTAGCATGTCCAGCAATGTATTTCATTTTACAAGTCACAAAGTCACGGCTTTGAATAAAGCTTCCTCAATACCGTTGTGTCATTTTCCCAAGCCGCGGGCCAGTGGCATCGCGCTCGGTTCCGCGGAATCGGTTTTTCAGGGCCTGATCGAAGTCCCCAAAACAAATTTGTGTCCAGCTATTCCTAATTCTTCAAGGGAAACGACCCAACCTCCCTGAATTTGGATGATCAATCCGTTACCATGCGACTATCTCGATACTTCGCCGGTTATCGCTGGCCTCTCCATGGCTAAATTGGTGTTGGCGTAGGCACGGTACTGTACTCGACTCCGATTTGTTAGAAGCAATGGTCCAATGATCCAGCTGTGGGTCCATCTTCATAAACGCCCTCGGCCGGCCTCGGAAGCTCCCGCTTCGGAATCATCTAGACTTACTACCATCTACCATGATGTGCGGACGAATCACATCGACATGTTCGTCGGTACGGAAACTGGAGTTTGCCCGAACGATGCGTCGGTTATGCATCAACAACACCACCTCCACCACCACCTCAAAGTTCTCAATAAACGCTTCAAGACGAACCACTTGCATGAAATTGTGTCTGTGTGTTAACGGCGCCTAGTGTTGTAAGGCTAAAAGGTCGTTGCCTAAGAGATGCAACCGTCGATGGATAGAAATACGCGCCGTCGTGGTGCCTTTCTGGCATTAGGCCTGGTCACAAATTTTCATATTCTCAGGTTTCCGCTTAGGGGAAATGTACGAACTGCCATGCGTAGATAATGATTACCCCCAGCCATTGAGAACCTTGGACTAGCATTCACCAAAATAATCAATGTTTCTTCACACATTTTCATGCAGATGGTCACATCAACTCCTTCCGCGACATCATACCACCCGACACCCCGACATCCAATATCCACCAAAGAAAACTAGGAATATGCATTTTACCCTAAGTTCTAGTGTCCGCGCAGGTTGTTGGGCCTCTCAAGTCTAGTCCATAATGTGTCGTTCGAATTGGTCTAGAAGCAATATTGCGACGTTGTCGGGTGATATCTCCCCCTCTTCCAGGTGAAGGAGACGCCAAGATATAGAAGACTGTCCTGGCGAGGGATGACGGAGTAAGAAACCCCAATGCGGCTTGTCTCTTTGAGGGACAGCTCCACTGACTTACTCATTCGGGAACCCACAGAAATCCACTGCAGCGGCTGAATCTTGATGCAAACACCTATGAATCGATCCGAAGCAGGACTTTAGCGCTGAGGGTGGAAAATTTTAGAGCGCCACGCAACTGAAGATCGAACCCTCGATCCCGACACCTGCTTGGAAGCTTTTTCGATACGTCTGTTTCATCTGCAATCTGCACGATCCCCTCAGACTGTTTTATCAACAATGGCCACGACATCGAAAGGTGTCTCAGCCTCCTATCCAACACACGTTGATATCAACGACATTCACGCTCCTACTCACCCTGACGACCAGTACAAGTATTGCATTACTTCCAGCATTCCTGCGTCCCATTACTAACATAGCGTAGATACTCTCATGGCCTGAACGGAGTCAACCAGCCTCAAAACAATCTCCTTGTCAATGTCTTGCTTACGACTCTACTTCTTGTCACCATTGTCATCCTCGTGTATCGAGTAGGACGACGATTTCAAGCAGAAAGACGGCATGTTGCTGCAGCGACAAACCCAGCCCGGCAAGCAATATGGGCTACGAACCGTTGGAAATGGCTCCCTCGATTGAAAGAACATCTGCTATACGCTCCCCTTTGGAGAAATCGCCACAACTCCGAGATTCAAATTTCCAGTGCTATAACGTTTGGCACACTACCTTCACGGATGCACACAATACTACTATTAGGTTACTTCGCATCCAACCTAGCATATTGCCTAATCTTACCCTGGAAAAGTGCCGACGCACCGTTCCTCGTTGCAACACTGCGAGGTCGGTCCGGCACTTTGGCGGTACTGAACCTCATCCCAACGATCCTATTCGCACTCCGAAACAACCCGTTCATCTGGATATTTCACATCAGCTACGACACATTCAATCTCTTCCATCGGTGGCTGGCACGTATCGTCTTCTTGGAGGTTTTGGCCCATATTGCGGCGTGGCTCTACAACACTTTGAGAGTCGGAGACTGGAAAGGCGCAATGTGGATCATCAACCAAGCTGAAAGCTATAAATGGGGACTTATGGCCTCGATCGCGTTCTTGCTGCTAACAATCCAAACGTGGTCTCCTTTGCGACACGCATTCTACGAAACTTTTCTCCTTATCCATCGCGTTTTGGTCATTCACGTGATCATTGGTGTCTATTGGCACCTGAAGCAGCATGCACTGCCACAGCTGTACTGGGCCTACATCTTCATCGCTTTTCTGGCCGCCGAATATGTTTTCCGGTTCTTCCGAGTCGCGTACTTCAATACCTCCGGGCTATTCAGAGGCCGATCAATCACCAAGACTACGGTGGAAGCCCTTCCAGGAGAGGCATGCCGCTTAACCTTTCACCTCACTCGCCCTTGGACCGGGAACCCCGGGTCGCATGTCCACGTCTACCTACCATCGATCTCGTTCTGGTGCTCGCATCCATTTTCCGTCGCTTGGATCGAACCTCAGCCCCTAGCTACCGAATCCGGAAAACTCCCATCCTCTATAGACGACCTCAAATTCAAGACGACTAACAGTACCATTTCTCTCGTGGTTCGTGCTCGCACCGGCATGACGCGGTCCCTACACACGAAAGCATCCTTCCAGCCCAACAACACTCTCACTACGTGGGGTGCAATCGAAGGCCCCTACGGCGGGTTCAACTCTTTGGACTCATACGGGACCGTCCTCCTCTTTGCCGGTGGCGTTGGTATCACGCATCAGATCTCCTTCGTCCGCCACCTAGTAGCTGGACACGCCGGCGGCACCGCTGCCGCGCAGAAGGTCGTGCTCATCTGGTCCATCCGCAGTACTGACATACTCGAGTGGACTGGACAGTGGTTGGACGAGATCATGGCGATGCGCGATCGCAAGAACGTACTCCAGGTCATCGTCTTTGTGTCGGGCAGAAATCCAGACCTTGACACCAAGCTCTTGCCCGAGGGTATAAAAGTGCGACGAGGGCGGTGCAACGCCAGCGACGTGATAGATGCTGAAATCCTAGACCAAGTCGGGGCGATGGTGGTCACGGTCTGCGGGCCTGGGGCCTTTGCGGATATGGTGAGGGCTGCGGTGAGGCGGCGGGTGAGCGTCAAGAACATTGACTTTGTGGAGGAATCTTTCACCTATTAATGTCTATTGAACGATGGGAAGTACTGAACATATCTCTCTTGGTTACTCTTGCTACTGCTTCGAGCAAGGCAGAATACTGATACGAAGGCACGGGTTTCCACTTTCTTTGTAACAGCGCTGCTCCAACCACAAGAACGCTCTTTATTTGAATTCCGAGTTCTCATAAGCGTAGCCACTCCACGTTGTGACTTGTAGGTTGTCTAGTATATAATACCTATACATCCTGTTCGTAGCCAAACAGACCTCTCACCCATCAAATCCCCACCAAGGGTAGCTGTCATGACCTACACATCGTGCATTACAATGCGATCCAGAACAGCAGCATTGTAAGAAATCGGCATTGGACTTCAACAATTCACTTCAAGAAATTCACATTCTAAAGGGATAAAGCAGTTTCATGACGAGGATAAAAGACGCCCAATTTCAAGCCTCCAGACACTTTCTACCTTCACACTACGCGGCATTCAGCCGCCTCATCTATATATCTCTTCATAAACCTCGACCTCAGCGTCGCGTACATATAGTTGAACCTCCTAGCGAGCAGGTGCGAGAGACATACTCGATACCTCTCCATGCACCTCAACCGCAGCGTCACGTACAAGTAGCTGAAGCTCCACGCAATAAAGTGCGAGAGACATCCACGAGATCTCTCCATGAACCTTGACCTCAGCGTCGCGTGCATATACCTGAAACTCTCGGCAAGCAGCTGCGAGAGACATACTCGATATACTGATACACAACAACCCTGTATACACACCACATCCAAATGCCAATAGTATCTCTATACTGTTTTGGCTCCATTATATACAACAATGGCGAACTCGCGGTATACCTTCCGCAACGACATGGGATTCCACTGACCCAGTTCATCCGCAGTCATTCAACCATGACTCGGCATAGCAAAACAGCGCAATAACGACATCAATGTCCGGTGGTAGCAACACAGCGCAATAACGACATCAATGTCTGGTGGCAGCAGCACCCAGCTACCTACACCCTATCCTAGCATATCAAATCGCGCAACATCGATATCAAATGCGGGTGCCTGTCAGAGCACTTCAACCTTCAGTTTTTAAAAACACCAGGAAAAGTCCCAAAATGCGGTCTCCGGCTCTTCCTTCTCTTGGTAAGTTGGCAATCCCAGATTCTAGCAAAATTCATGCTGGGAGACTCGCGCAAACTCATAAAATCACAGCCGCGACTGGCGCGTGATCATGCATGAGCATGAATATGAGTCCGTCAAGGGCAACCAAGGTGCCAGACCATGGTCCTCGGGCTCTTCAGATAAGATACCCACCGCCTGTCAATTCGATGGGCTATCGAAATAATGAAATGTTATTCTGCTCTACTTTTACAAATCCTGATATCTCATGTGACAATGTGTGAGAAATATAGAAACATGTATGCTTTAGAATCGAGTTGATTTGGACGTTGTGCAACCACGCCTTGAATTCCTACGAGCCATTAGCTACGCGACTTTCACGATAATTGAATACAAGGTATCTTACGTAGCCCATTTGAGATGCTGTTGGAGTCTAAAGACTAGCCCCCTGTGACTGCTGAATAGCCTAAAAGAAAATAACCTGAACAGTAATATCATCCCTAATATTCCGACTAAGAGGCTGCCCAGCGCTCATAACGCTGCAAAACAAGCTCCGCCGTGACCCTCCAAACGCATTCTTCACTAGATGCGTAGCCGCATTGCCATCCTCGACGACAAAGTGCTCCGGCGTCGCTTTCCACTCCACATACTTACCATCCGTCAGCGTGAACGGCTTGCCGCCCACCACATGGTAAGAGTCGTCTGCCTTCGCTTCTGATGATACTGGAGACTTGAACTTCCCGCTCTTCCTAGCTTCAACGTACTGCGCCACGCACTCAACCGCATCCTCGCTGCTGATATGGTCCCAGAGCCCATCAGACGCCAGAATCGCAAAGTCGCCACGCTCCCCCCTGACCACCTGCGTCTCTGTTACAACCGGCTCCGCTGTCATGTAGGGCGGCGTGATAGCGCCTTTCCGTGGCGCAGGTGACCAGAAATCCTCTTGCGTCTTCTTAAGAAACTTCTCGCTCCATTTCCATCTGCTGTCACCAAAAGCGCGGGTTACTGCGATGCCGAGCAAGCGCCCGGACGCTGGATCAATAATGCCGGTTTCGCCAGGGTGGGCTGCGCTGATGCGCTCCACTTCAGCGGCGTTGAAGCCGGTTTGGTCGGCTGAGAGTGGCTTGGCGACGTACTTTCCAGCGGCAGACTCGTAGCGACCGAGGACGGCTCGGGAGTCGCCGGTGCATGCTACGCGGAGGACAGAACTCTTGGGATCGAAGATGGCGAGGAGTGCACAAGATCCCGCGATGGCGGGTGCGAGAGCTGCGAGAGCTGCGGCTGAGACTGAGGAGGCGGAATTGACGGCCTTTTGGGCGGTGTTCAGGATGTCGGCATCGAGGCTTGTGAATGCGTTTTGGATGGCGGAGGTGATCAACGGGCTAGCGCTTTGAGTAGATAATTGAGATAGAGATTTGGATACGTATGGGACGAGGGTGCTCTTTAGCAGGATGCCTGTTGCAGCTCCCCTGTAGCATCGTTAGTAAAATGGTTTTGTCTTGCACCGTGGATAAGGGATACGACGATGTTGGAGAAAACGGTAGAGAAAAACGAGGAAACGATACATACGCATGTCCATCAAGAACTCCCCAATAACACCATGGAGTTTTGCCCACTCCAGGTGCGACGACTTGCACGTATTGGTCTTCGACCGGGCTATTGCTAGCAAACTGCACGGAATGGGATTCTGGGCTTTTCCCAGTTGCAGCAACGCTAAGCTCATTCTCGGTGAGCTTTGCAGTTGCAGTTTGCACATTGAGAGACACAGGTTCCTTGACCAGAGCTATAGGGTCTCTTGGAGTTTCGTCAGGGCTGATCGGTGAAGATGCTGATCTAGGCGAAATGGCGGTAGGCTTGGAGGGACCGTAGATTCCCTCGATCACAGCACCACATGCAAATGCGGCGCTCAGACCAAAGACCAGCCCTGCATTGTTGAGGGTTAAAGCACGAGACTGATGGGTCGCAACTCGAATAGTTAATGTAGCATGTTGGCGGATGGATAGATTGAAACTTCGATCTAACCCATGGCGGAGTACGCTATGCGCTCCAGAGTTCACCCGGCGTACGAGTAGAGACATTGTGGAGGAATGGTAGAGTGTAAGCAGCACGGGATGGAATGAGGCTGATATATAGCCCTGGTCAATGCGCCAGTCTAAGCCTTATTAGGTATGTATATCATTTCTTCTCCTAGAGCTCTGAAGGGCGGCAGTAACTCATAGGTGTGGCCCTATGCTTCTTCATTAACAGGTTTCGGAATGGGGTCAAGCAAACGAAACAAGAAGTTGTGGTTCATATGTCAAGGGAACACGTCCCGTCCCGTACGTCGTATTTTAGTGACTTTTATCTAATCCGTATAGGCCGATATTTTTGGGGGTATTCTTCACATCAAGCAAGTACATTAGCTGCAATCTACACTTCTCTCTTGGCCATGCCTTCGGGCAAAGTGGCAACCTTCTCTTGGAACAGCTTCTCGGCTCCCTGCCACACGGGCGTCGTCTGCCTGTCCTTAAGGGCGAGTAAGCTCGGAAGCAACGCTTCGCTGAAGGCTTCTGATGCCTCTCGCGGAAGAGCGGAGGGAAGGTGGTCAATGGAGATGACCGAGAGCGGTGGGCCGCTCGTGACGGGCACTGGCACCGTGGGCTTGTCGAAAGTGGTGTTGATAGAGTAGATTGGAATGGGGTTGTGCGGGTTGGTGGTGTCGCAGCTGACGTCGCAGACAACGCTGAGCTTGCGGTTCAGTGAAGCTAGGCTCTCGGCGTTCACGAAGGGTGGGATTGGCTTGGAGAGGTAGATGCAATTGACGAAACTATTTCGAGTACCCGTTAGCCTCCTCGATGCTTGCTGACTGAGGCATTAAGTGGAAGCGCTTACATGTCAGATTCGATGATCTCGGGGTATGGACCTGGCTTCTCCGAGGTCTCTGCGAGATCCCAACTTTTGATCTCTGTGCATCCAATCTTCTCCAGCAAGTCAACAGCTCCACTGCCACACCTGCCAAGAGCTCCCAGGACGAGGCTAGTGGGCTTGCGTCCTGCAACCTTCTCGCCTGCAGCAATGTCCTCTTTGAGCTGAGCGATGAGCTCGTCTTCGTTCTCGTAGTATCCTCTGCCGTTTGTGAATTGGTCTATGCCGGGAAGTGGGTCACCGTTCGGGTGGGTGAGCTGCCATGCCCAGGTCTGTTGTATAGTTAGAGCCAGTTCAGCTACGACAGGTCGAAAGAACTTACTTTGACAGCGAATGCAGCGCCAGCAAAGCCAGCATGGTAGCCAAACGCTGCAACTCGCCTGCCAGAGGCGTCTTGCAGGAACTCTAGGTCATAGAGCGTTCCTCCTCCGCGGGGGAATCTTGCCAGCACCTGCTCCCAGCCGCCCTGGTTCTTGTAGCAATGGGCAAAGTGCACAAATGTGTGTGACAATGGCGTATCCTTCTCCGGGAGCTCCTTGAGGCCAATGATTATGTGGTCGTTAGGTGCGCTCTCCCATGAACCCTCCTCGATTAGGGTTGCGCCGGCAGCTTCAAATTCTTCGTCTTTGAAGATGCGACGGAAGTGGGGATTCGTAGAGCTTCGTTCCACCAGGACGGGGTAGCCGGCGTCAAGTAGCTTCTTAGCAGTTGTGGGTGTGAGCATTGAACGATGCTCCATGGGCTTGGCCTCTGCGCGGGCATGCAGAATGGGAAAAGCCATTGTGAATGGTAGTGGTGATGTGGAGGAGCGTGAATGCGACGACACGAAGGGCACAGATCGGAGATATTCAAATCTTGATAGCAGGCTAGAAAAACGCATGCAATTGAGGGCCGGTGGGGGATTTATAGCTGTCGCGGGACAAATATGACTCCCTTCTCGGGGCAGTAAAGGAATTCCTTTCACCGCCCAAACGCCCAGCCTTCGTCATGTGGCTCGTCCCCAAGAATCCCATGTTGCAAATGCACAACTGCATGACCTCCCCTCGTACCCACCAGTGTAGCACATGTGATGCCTCTATCGAACCCTCTTCTCCGCATACTGCCCGCCGCTAATCTGCCCCGCCCGTGCCATAGAGACACCCGACGATAGCTTCCATCAGCGATGAATGCCTCCGGTGGGGTACTCTCGAATCCGCATAGAAAAAGCAACCGACACTTCTCCAACCGCGGCTAAGCCTTGAGGCTTGGATTTCTGCACGATATGCCGCCCAAAAACACTCGCTCCGGCGCGTCGTCGCCAGACTCCGACTATCACCGGCGCAAGTCCTCCTCGAACAGACACACCCTCCATGTTCCCGCGACTCCTAGCCAGCTGCGCGAGTCTCATGTACCCGCGAGCCGCACGCCGTCGCCAGAGGCCACCATGAAACGCGGATACTACGATGGAGCAGCAGAGGGCTCCTACTCCTCTCCCAAGACGTCTCCGAGGACGTCTCCCCAAAATGACCTCGATCCTACCTTCGACGACGACGGCATACATCTCAAATTAGACCAGGCGTCAATACATTCCAACGACGACATAGCTCCTGCAGAGACAATTGATGGTATATTGGAGGTAGACGTGGAGTCCACTTTGCGGTCAAGGCTGCTGAGCCACAAGAACTGGGACCAGGCTTCAGGTTGTGGTTCAGAGCACTGCAATCATGGGACTTTCTCTCCTCGTCCGGGCACAGTAAGAAGCTATGGGAGCATAAGTTCCGACGTGTCGCACGAGGGGTTCGGAGGCCGGTATCCAGGAGGACTGGGTACCGCATCCGGCGAACCCGCCGACGTGACGCATGCGCTTCTTGGAGATACTGTCGCAGATGGGGTACTAGGAGGTGGCAGGGGAAAGAAGATGAGCACAACGCGTTATCTAGCAAAACGACATGGCATAAAAAGCGAAAAGCGAATGTACGTGGACATCACAATTGCACCCTTCGTCCTTTGAGGACTACATGAAACTAACACGGGCATTCTGCAGGTATTTGGCATATTATATCCCAATATTCAACTGGATTAGACAGTACAAGTGGGCATATTTTCGCGGCGATTTGGTAGCTGCTCTGACTATGGCGTCCTTCTACATACCCATGGCACTTTCATACGCCTCGAATCTTGGACATGTTCCTGCAATTAATGGACTCTACAGCTTCGTCGTCAACCCGTTGATCTACGCTATCCTCGGCACCTGCCCTTTAATGGTGGTTGGACCTGAAGCTGCAGGATCGCTTCTGACCGGAGAGGTGGTGCGCGAAAATATCAAGAAAGGGACAACGGATGACGGTGACGGCACACGAAACGCAGAAATCGCTGGCATAGTCACATGCATGGCTGGTGGGATGATATTTGCAGCCGGACTGTTTAGACTTGGATTCCTCGACAGTGTGCTCAGCCGCCCATTCCTAAGAGGCTTCATCAGTGCCATTGGTGTCGTCATTTTTGTAGACCAGCTAATCCCCGAGATGGGTTTGGCTCGGCTAGCATCAGAGGCGGGAGAAGTCTCTCATGGAAGTTGCGTAGACAAGATCGTTTTCATTTTTGGCCATATAAAGCAGGCAAATGGCTTGACTTGCGCTGTTTCGTTCGGTGCTTTTGCGATAATCATGGCTCTTAGGTGAGAAGAACTCCAAGAATATTTGGGCAACCAACTGATCAACGCAAACAGAGAAACGAAGAAGAGACTGCAACCTCGATACCCGTCTGTAGCATATGTTCCCGACCGTTTCATTGTAGTCGTACTATCAGCGATATTCGCATGGAGATTTCGATGGGATCTTCACGGTGTTGGTGTACTAGGCGAAGTCAAAGCAAGCGGGAAGCTATTCGCCATCCACTTCCCGTTTCAAACTTCGCATCTAAAATACGCGTCCGATGCGTTCAATACGGCTATTATCATTGCATTGCTTGGATTTTTCGAGTCTTCCGTAGCAGCAAAAGGGTTAGGGTCTGGAGACCCCAAGAAAGAGGGCATCACCGATGTCACATTAAGCGCGAACCGCGAGCTTATTGCCCTTGGCACCGCAAACATCACTGGGGGTCTGTTTATGGCACTACCAGCCTTTGGTGGGTATGGAAGGAGTAAGGTCAATGCCTCGACTGGCGGAACAACTCCAATGAGTAGTATCTTCTTGAGCCTCATCACTCTACTCTGCATCTTTTTCCTCTTACCCTACATGTATTACCTGCCAGTAAGCCTATTCTTTTCCTATCTTACTGCTATTCAAGAAGCTAATGCCCACCAGAAAGGCGTCCTCAGTGCCATGATATCTGTCGTAGCCTACTCGCTTGTCGAAGAAGCTCCCGGCGACATCCGCTTCTTCTGGCGCATCCGAGGCTGGTCCGAGCTAATCCTCATGTTCGTAATCTTTGCCACCACCATCTTCTGGGACCTTAAAAAAGGCATCGCCGTCGGCATCGGCCTGTCTATCCTCCGCCTCATCCGCCACAGCACCCGCCCCCGCATCCAGATCCTAGGTCGCGTGCCCGGTACTACAGACAAGTTCGCAAACGCCGAGCTGGACCCCGACCGCCTCGAGTTCATCGAAGGCTGCCTGATCGTCAAGATCCCGGAACCCCTGACGTTTGCGAACACAGGCGAGTTGAAGAATCGACTTAAGAGGCTGGAGTATCACGGCACGGGCGCCGCGCATCCTGCCCTCCCACGCGTGCGGAAAGAAGAGCATAATAAGAACATCATCTTCGACGTTCACGGTGTCACAAGCCTGGACGGTGCCGGCGCACAGGTCCTCTCGGAAATTGTGGAATCGTACCGCGCCCGCAATGTTCGCGTCTTCTTCTGTAGAGTCCCTGGGGAGCAGAGCGACGTTTGGAGGCTGTTCGAGGCGTCGGGGATTATGGAGGCGTGTGGTGGAAGACGGCACTTTGTGGCGTCGGTGGAGGAGGCGCTGAGGATGACGGAGCTAGAGAGCTTGACGGAGATTTTTAGGGATGAGTTGCCCGAGGGGTCGATGGCTGCGGGGAGGTAAGTTAACATTGCAGTTGTACATTATATAAAGACATGATCGTACAAGCGTTGCATCGGGTGATTGCATTTTAATGGCGTGGGCACTGGGGTTGGATGATTGTAGGATTGTGGTAGACTTGGGAACGACGCAAGAAGTTCTAGCTAGGGCTCTTCCGCTGCATTTCCTAGCCACTTGTGACATCCTAAGGCTCTAAAGGTGTGCTTCCTAACTGCACTCACGCGACAACAAACTTTTCCTTCATTAGAAAGATCCCACCACGATGTTGCAATAGCGCTCAACGCAGCAGCACCTTACAACCCTCTGCACTCGTCACCACAATAGTAAGATTCTGCCTCTCTTGCCCCGTCTCCTCCTTCTCGACCTCAGGCGGCAGTCTCAAGCCCGGGAATGTCTGAATGATTTTCACAATACCATACGACGCTTCCATGAGCGCGAAATCCTCTGTACCATGTTAGCGCCGTATCCTACTACCCCACCTTGAAGATCTTATCATGCAGACCAGAAGGTTGCCTTCGATGTAGGGGTGAAAATGGACAAGTAAATGCGGACAAACTTACTTCCCAGACATATTCTCGGCCCCCCGTGGAACGGCATGAACCCCCAACCAACCTTACGCTCCAAATCCGTGCCTTCCCACCGTTCGGGGCGGAACTGGTGTGCATCGGGCCCGTACAGCGACGTCAGGCGGTGCATGTGGTATACCGAGTAGCCGACGCCAGTGCCTTTGCGGACCAACACCGGTGATGTGCCCGTGGGGCCGCCGCCGGAGGGGAGGATGGTGGTCTTGAGGGCAACGCGGACGTTGACGGGGAGTTGGGGGTAGAGGCGAAGGGTTTCGTTGAGGACGCACTTGAGGTAGGAGATCTTGGCAATGTGGGATCGGGTGAAGGGCTCGGTTTCTGGGACGATGGCGGCTATTTCTCTGCGGAGGCGGTCGAGCACAAGGGGGTGGCGGACGAGGAGGAAGCTGCAGAGAAGAATGCGTGAGTCGGGACTATTTGAAGGATGGCGTACATACAAGGTCCATGACATAAGACAGGCGGTGGTGTCTCGTCCAGCAATGAGAACGTTGACGAGTTGATCTCGTACCAAGGCCGGGTCCTTGAGGTCTTTGTAGAGATCGTGGATGAAGACGTGCTTTCCAGAGTCATGATCCTCTCTAGACTCCTTCATGTCATCCAAAGCGAGCGCTACGAAGTGTTTAGCATACTTTTTCACCACTCCACAAGCGTTTCTAAACTTCTTCGTCTTATACAGCCAATGGAAATCCGCAAGGCGCAGTCTAATCGCGGAAATCATCGAAGCATAGTCAAAGCTGGTGGAGAAGTGGTCTTGCACGTCATCGCCGAGGGAATGGACTGGCTCTCCGAAGATGAGATCAGTCGTGGTGGCCAGGGTGAAGCGGAAAAAGTGTGGTTGTAAATCTACAATGCCATCGCTTGCGGACAACAGTCCGGTGATAAGGTTGTTAACAGCCTCATCGAACACCTTAAGGTTCTGGTATGGCATTCGTGCGAATTGGCGGCGGAGAAGCTCGCGAGAGTGCTTCCATGGTCGTCCGTCCTGTGTAAAAATACCTTCTCCGAGTAGGGGATACAAGCCTTCACGACGACTCCCTAGGCCCCAATCTGCGGCTTGTTAGCTTATAATCCACGGCGAAACTGCTTGAGAGTGGAACTAAGAAAACCTTCAAAGTGTGTAGAGAGGATAGCTTCTACGTTCTTGGGGTCTATGGTCATGTATCCCTCCTGTCCAAACAGCCCAAGTAGCATGTTTGGCCCTATCCTATCAAAATACTGCGACTGAAACGCTAGCAGACGTTGGGACGGAAGAGCGTCATATTGCCGCTTTAAAATATCGAGAGCGAACGGCCATTTGTATGGAAGTTTTGCTTCCATTGGCAAGCAGCCATGCTGTTCACCAAAAGCCTGGTCTGCCTTTGCAAAGTGAGCTGTGGGAAAAGAAATGATAGTTCTTGACGGCGCACTTGAAACTGACGTCTTCTTTGAAAGTAGAGAACGATGAGATAGCAGGCGGCGAGTGTCGCGAGAACCAGGCGTGGACTTGAGCCAGCCTCACGAGTGATGGCTAGCCAGTCCATTCAGGAATGGGGATTAAAGTGCAAGAGGCACGCATCAGTGCTTTAAATGCCTCATGTCTGTAGTACATGGCGGGCTTCTTGGTCCCCCGTCCGTAATGGAGACTTTGCCGCTCATTGCCCTGCACTGCCTTGCCCGTCTGCGCAATCGCATGCCAACTGCCGCAGGTCTTGGGGGCTGGAATTACCTAGATGTGGACGACATGCATACGAAAGCGATGGGTGATTGGGCCGATAGGTGATGGCGGCTGCAGAGGTTTCCGCAGAGGGTTCGCAGAGTCGCACTGTCTGGGGCCAACACTCACGAAAAGAAAACACCACGGCCTGATTGGGACCACAGACAAAGTCACCGGTCGCGGAGCCGCGGACACCCCTCTCGTTGCTGTGGATTGGGGTGCGTGGCACCCCCAGCTCAGCCCAGCCGCCGGGCTGCACTTTTTACAACCCCTCACCACCAGCGCTTGCCTGCTCTGTAGGGCTATCGTCTCTTTTCGTTTAACGATGCGCGCAATCCCAGTGGACCGGCGGGTACGAAAGACAAATGGATCCCTTCTCGTTAGTTGCCGGCACCACTAGTGTTGTCGATGTACTGCTCCGCTTCGGGAGCTACCTGAAACACATTCACGACGCAGCAGGAACCATCGATGAAGACATCGCCGCATTGATCCACGAAATTGACGCTCTCATCTCCGTTAACACTTCGATAGAGGACACTTCCAAGATTGAGCAAGCGAGGATCCCAAGTTCCTCGCTAGCAGATTTGAATCGACTTGAAGGCCTCTGGCGAAGCGTTGGGGTTCTGCGGAAGGATTGCCAAACCACTGTCGAACGCCTTCAAGCTGTGGTCCAAGGGATTTTTGGCAAAGAAGGCACCCCAAAGTCTACCGGAAAAGTCGATGCTCTTAAAAGGACACTCAGAAAGGACAAGAAGATCGATGAAATCAAAGACCTACGCCTCCAGCTGACAAATTACAAGAACAGTCTCCAAGTGTTGTTGACCGCCTTGAACCTGTGCGTCAAGTAATTCTACGAAACTTTTGACCTGCGCTGACATCGAGTAGCTCTTATACCCGTAATTCGCAGGACTCGACCGACGTGTCACTTGGTCATCTATCTCAAGAAGTCCAATTACTGGGATTCAAGCTCAATCATCAGCTTGCTTCGTTACGCCCACAGCTTGCAACAGCTACTGACCGTCACGTATGTGGGCGATACCCATCTTGTTTTGTTATATCAACTCCTAACAGCCCATAGTTCCTTCGTGCCATCAAACCTGCGACTGTAGTAGCCTCACTCGTGTCTATCAACAGACATTTCGATATTCCGCAGACTGTCAGTAGCATTTTCACTGGCCGAGATTCACTGCTCGAGGATCTTCAGACTGCATTCGATGTCTTCGAGACGTCTAGGGAACCTAGGAAAGTCCAAAGACGCTTCATCGTATATGGGCTTGGTGGCTCGGGAAAAACACAATTCTGCTGCAAATTTGCTCAGGACAATCGAAACAAGTGAGCTATGCGGAAGCCCATTGGTTTCCTATCTTCTCCGCTGACACACATCTAGTTTCTGGGGCGTCTTCTGCGTCGATGCAAGCTCCGTACAGGCCGCCGAACATTCGTTCTCTCAGATAGTCAAGTTTGGGGGTCGTCAGCCGAGTGAAGGATCGAATCAGCGTGCAGCTAAAGAATGGCTCTCCAGTCTTGACGAGCCCTGGTTGCTAATAATCGATAATGCGGATGACTCTTCTTACCCCCTCGAAGACTACTTTCCCCGTGGCGAACGAGGGTGCATTCTAGTCACTACGCGCGTGCCGGCATACAAGGTTCATGGAACCGTTGGTACAGGGTCATATCGGTTCGATCAGTTGGCCATCGATGAAGCGAACGACCTCCTCCTGAAAGCAGCTGGCAAGCCCAGCCCGTGGGACACTTCGACAAGATCAGCAGCTGAACTTATTGCGGATGTCCTAGGCTTCTTGCCACTCGCTCTGATACACGCAGGCAAGGCTATCATGAACGGTCTGTGCTCTCTGGCAAACTACGTTGAGTATTACAACAAGAGTTGGGAGAGAATCCGTCAAGCGCGAAGGAACTCTGGGTATCGAGGGGACATCGACAGAAACATGAACGTTTATTCAAGCTACGAAATCAACCTGAGAAGCCTTGAAGAGTCAGATACCGAGCAGTCCATCGATGCACTCCAACTTCTCAAGATGTTTTCCTGTCTCCACAACGAGAATATCCGCGTTGATGTCATAATTACTGCAGCATTGAATCCTCAAGTTGAGCGAGAGCAACAAAGGAAGGACGCCGAAAGTCAAGCCCGCACGAAGGCAGCATCCAGACCCAAAACAACCTCGGAGCTTATCAGAGATAAAATGTTTAGAGTACTAGAGTTTCTTCTTAGAGACCGTAGTCCTCCCGTTCTACCCGCGCTTTTACGGGAGTGTAAGCCTTTATCGTCTTTCGCCGACCTTCTCGAAATCCGCCTCCGCCACGCGCTCAAGGTGCTCTCGCAGATGTCGCTAATTACGCATCACGAAGCAACCGACAACTACTCTATGCATCTACTGGTCCACACTTGGGTGCGAGAGAGGCCCGAAATGAGTGTGGCCGAACAAGCGCTTTGGTGTCAAGCCGCGAAGACTATGCTTGCACAGTGCATACTTCTCCCGCCACACGGGTCTTCTGAAAAGGAAGAGGCCATGCGAAGGAGTCTGCTGCCTCAAGTAAACTATGTCCGGAAGTGCGAAGCAATTATCAACACCAAGATCAACGAAGCTCAGAAATCGCGCCCATGGTATCGTGGGTTTCCAGTGCCTCAGAATAAGTTCGGACGGCGTCAGGCGCTTGAATGTGCCAAGTTCAGCCGAGTATACTTTGAGTTCGGGCTTTGGAAAGAGGCAGAGGAGCTACAAGTGGCGGTCAAGGACTTTGTTTGCAGCATGCTGGGCGCTGGCCATCCTATTGCTTTGAAAGCAACGCTCTTCCTGTCTGCGACCTATTTTAGTCAGACCCGTCACAACGACGCAGCGGAACTTCAGTGTCAAGTCTTCCAGGCTTGCGAGAGATCCTTAGGTTCCGATCACCCCGAAACGCACAAATATATGGATATTCTAGCCTCGAGTCGGTGCTTTCAGGGACGATTCAAGGAGGCCCTTGAACTTCATGAAAGAGCCATTGCGGGGATGAAGAGAACGCCACCCACAAACCCCGAAGATATCTTCATTGCCATAGGTAACTTGGGCAGGGTTCTTTGGAGGTACTTCCGCTACAAGGACGCTATGGACTTGCATAAAGACGCGGTTGAAGGATTGACGAAAACCCTAGGTCCCACTCACCTACAAACGCTTCTGGGAAAGGAAGACCTGGCCATGTCATACTTAGACTGCGGGGAAGACCTGCTAGACCCCGCGCGCAAGCTCATGCTAGAAGTCCTCGACCAACGCAAAAAACGACTCGGCGGAGAACAACCATTCACCCTTCTTGCGATTTGTAACCTTGCCAGAGTCGAAAGCGCTTGTGGCAACAACGACGAAGCAGAGAAGTTGTTCCGCGAAACTATACCGATTGCTGAACGAACCCTTGGGGAGAACCACTACGGCACGCTTGCAGCCAAGGTGCATTTTGCAATTGTGCTTACTCGCCAGAAAAAATATGATGAGGCTGAGGAAGTGTTCACTAAGGTCGTGGAGAGACATCGCTATGAGAGTGCGGCACGAGCGGATGGGGATCACCCTGATCGGATCTTTGCGTTGTGGCACTTGGTGTTGTGCTACGAGCTCCATGGGAAGGTCGACGACGCTCTTCTCAGAGTCATGGAGCTTGAGACAGTTTTGACAACGATCGGAGGACAGGGACTGGGGAAGCTCCATCCGTTTGCGAAAAGGCTCCAGGATAAGCGGGCAGAGCTTGAGACTGCTCAAAAGGCACCTCAAGAGAATATTCAACCTGATGTCCCCGAGCGTGTCGATTCTCAGGAATCCGCCCCTGGTTTTGCGTCTTCCGATACCTTAGTTTCGTCTCCGCCGCTCTCCCCGCCGCTCGTCGAAATGCCAGAATGAGACCAGGACCTTGTTAGCCATCCTCGAAGATAGCGAAGCGCTACCCCTTTAATGCCAGCCAGGGAACTCTTTGACGCTGTCGGCTTCATTGGAATACTCATCAGTATCGAGTTATGCCGCTTCATGGAGACCTATTGGGATAGAATATACAACTGAGATCGCGAACAAAGTCCGCGTCTGTCCAGTAAATGGCTTCAATACTGCGTCGTATGGAGGCTACGACCTCCAGTCTCTCTGTGTGTTTCTCAGGACCGCGGTGCCCAGTTGCTAGCACGGCTGAAGCTAGCAGATGGTAAAGACAACCATCGGCAAAGGAGAGGGCCAACGACTACGTCGGGCGACTTATCGCGCGACACTGAAAGTCCATCGGGTGCAGAAGCTAAGATTAGGATTCAGCTCCGAGTTCGAGCCCCTGCCCTTGCGCTGTAGAAACGTACTTGGTAAATCGTAGTGCTAGGTTTGCCGGAGATCTCGATTGAGATTATATATTCTATGGACCTATACTTTTTTTTTCGTTATTATAGTTCACATATTTTCTGAAGCGAAAGGCATCTATCTCATCTAGACCTTTTGGGATTCGGTTGCGATACGCTTAGGATTTAAAGGAAAATATATAGACCCGTGACAATCCCGTTCATGGGGGTGGGGTCCCCGTAATTCACTCAAACATATGCCTCGGGCAACGCTTGTGACGAACTCACTCGATCACGAAAAGCTCAGCGGCATCCTTGTGGTCATTTACTGTCCACATCGCCTCACCGTCCATCAAGCCATGCACATAGCATTCGCCCACGTACTCGTACCGTCCCGGTGCGATTTCACCAAGGAGGTGCAGCATCTGGCTCCCAAAGAAGACACACAACTTATCTCCGGCACGTAGCCGCAACGGTCCGAGGCCTAGGTATCCCTTGTCCGTCCAGAATAGCCGCCGGTTCTTCGCGGCCATGGACAGAGAGTGTCCGTGGTGCCTCCACCTCTCGTACGTCGCGGATTCAAGGTTGGTCCCATCGTTGAGGTACCGGCTCCAATCAACGCGGCCATTCCGTGTTACGTGAGGCCATTTGCTCCAGTCAAGGTCCATGATTATGGTTCGGTCAACTACGTCGTTGATGGCTTCGCCGGTTGGGTAACGTGTCGTTGAGTGATAGGCGATGCTTTGGCAGATGTTACGCAGCTGAGCCGGAGCTACATGGCCTTGTACCATAAATGAGGAAAGTGTTTCTGTAACTGTGCCGATGCATGCGCCACGGATCATCAGGCGGCTGTCCTCGATGAGTGGATTAGTATAGTTCCAATAGTCGGGGTTATAGTATCGGCGGTTGCCTCGATATTGTGAAAAGTACTGCGACTGTTCAGAGTTTACTGCCGACCAATCTACGAGCCAAGATGGTTTGTTAGACGCAGTCGCTCCTAGCAGGCTTCGCCTTGGACGGTCGTTGGGCAAGTCGCGGAGAAACTCAAGCTTATGACCATCGGGCATGTACGAGCAAAAGAATTGGGCGACGTGAAGCCATAGATCATGGCTGCCTATTCTGTAGTCCGGCAAGATGATCGAGCGTACCAGATCCGGAGTTAGACCTAAGATGGCGTACACCTTATCTCTTGGATCCGAGCATTTGGTGTGGGACAGCATTTCTAATGTCTCCAGAAATGCGGTTGCTGGGGGCTTGTCGGTGGATCTGGATTGGGCCAATTGTTCTCCAAGGTTGAGCAATGTAATAGCTGCATTAAAATGCTCTCGAAAGCCATCCCAGAGCACAGGAAGTATCTTTGATTTGAGAACAATGCTTTTGTTCATGGCAAGTATTGACTCTCGCCATGCGTAGTACTTCATGCATGTAGAGCCGCAGAGTAAGAAGGTCGAAGGATTGCAAGTAACCTCCTGGACGATCCACGCACGCATCCACCAAGGTCTTGTAATCACTTGGGTGAGTCCGGACCAGAAGTGGTTTGTCGAAGGCGCAGCAGGGGCTCCATAATTTGACAGACAATCTGGGCTGTAGCGTGAATCTTCAGCCGGCTCCCGAAACCGTGAGATCCATTCATAGAGCTTCTCAAAAACACCCACGGTGCCGCCTGCATGATTTGATGGCCCTAACCAGGCCCAGACGGCTTTCGCTCTTGTAAATATTTCCCGCATCTGTGCAACCTGACTCTCGCGCTCCTCAAGGTTGTCCTGGTCAATACACACGGCGTCGGCCCATAGATATATGTTTTTCTGGTTAAGACTAGGACCCCATTGGGCGAGGAACGCGAAAAGGTTTGATCGGATCTCGTAGGGCTTGCCATTTATCCAGATCTTATTACGCGTGGGAAAGCCTAGTGCACTGTCATGCTCACCCCAAGCGTAGGATAGCGCCACATATGGAGGTGGGGCTGATTGAGCGTAGTTGATTGATATCAGTTCATACCGGTGACTTTGCGGCTCTATGACGGATAAAACTCGAATTTCTCCCTTGGGCTTTAATGGAGGGTACTGATCGCTAGCCGTAAGATGTGGTCTTGGACTTGTTCCGGATATCATTTCCTGGGTCACTAGGCTGGGTTCCACTTCTATGGGCCTAACAGGCTCTAGTAGCTTACCAGGACGACCTGACAAAGGCGGTAGCCGTTTTGGCGGCGGCATTTCCTCTGAGGAAGCTACTGAACTTGATCGTTTCCGCGTTTTATCCAGGTTATTAGATTTCAGTTGATAAGGATAGTCGACTGATGCGGACGAAATAGTCTTTGTAGGACTCAACGTATCCCAAACTGACGTATGCGGTCCAAAGGTCCATGGAGTACTCTGAAGCGACCAGGGCGTTGTCGAAAGTGGATCCGATGCTCGGCTATCACTGATGGGGGGTTTCTGGTTCCCGGGGGCAGCTACAGCCAAGAGAAATGCATCTTCCATGCTCTCGTCATGGTCCATTTGTTTGATTTCTTGCCAAAGGCAATCATCGAGATGCTCGTAAAGGCCCTGTGCGCTGAAAGTGACAGAACAGGTCGAGCAAAGACCTTGGTGGCTCTCTTGCGTGACAATCTTCGCCTTTTTCCCTCTACGCGATTTCTTACGGCTGCTTCGTGGTGACTGTTCCACCCCATGTTTGGAAGTAAGGTGACGTTTGAAGGCGTCAGCGCGACTGAAGCTCTTTTTGGAATTTGATCCAGAACCTAGGCAGAAACCGCATACTATGGTGCCCTTATAGTGGGTTAATACGTGCCTATCCTTCTCATTCTTTCGTGCGAATCCCCTTAAGTGGTAATCACATTTGACGATGGGGCACTTTTCTGGTCGCTCGGGATTGTAAGTGAGTAGTGGCATGGGCGGAAGGTCCTCCGTTGGAACGTACATAGGCTCCAAGTATGAAGAGTCGAAGGAGTCTGTCTGAGAAGCTAGCGGAGGCCAAGACGCATCAAGCGTCGGCGAATGGTTGGCATGACTGAACTCATAGAATCCAATTGGACTGGAGGGTCGAGGAGAGCAAGACATTGGAAAAGTGAGTGGAATGAGATGAACTTTGGTCCTCCTTCTCTGGAAACCCGGTTTTTGCTGTAGAGATGAATCACCTTACGGAAAAACAGCGAGATGGACGCTTTTACTCGAAGATATAGGTATCAGGCTGAGGCGCAGCCATGCGTCCGGAGCTGAAGAATGCCAGGTGAGCTCAGCCACAGCGCCATAGCGGCAACACCTGACGTTTGCCTCGTTGAATGATTCTTGAGCCTGAGTTTCGAAGCTGCAACGAGTGAGATGGACGGGAGATGGAGTCGTCGCGTCCTGGGCTTTCGAATTAGCTATGGCGGTCACGGGACCTCGGCCCGCCGCATCGTTCCCCCTCTCGACACCACAGCACCAACCTGCCAACCTCTGATCGCCGTGACGCATATCCGCCGTGGAATCCTGACTGCTGGGGCCCTGACCCAAACTCTAGGGATTCATTGAGCGCGAGACATCGCACATTCCATGCGCCCTCCTCAACAAGAAGAGGCGAGCTGCAAGGCTGGGAGGCGCGTCACAATGTGGCTGTTGACGTCGGCGTGTGATGAGTAAATTCATACCTCTAGTGACTGAGGCAGATCTGTGTCTTTGCTCAGCTTTCTAGGCGTTGTTTTAGCTTCCAGACAACCAGTAGCTGACACGTTGACGTCGAATTCCTCATTTTCCCTTCGATTTGTCGCTTATGAGCAGGCTTCATTCTCCACAATTATCCACCACATAGAGAAGATGTCTTCTCCGTCGAAGGAGTCGAAGTTTGGAGCCGTGTGCGGCACTTGTCAGAAGATATATTTGAGCTCCTTCTATCCGCCACAGCGTCCGACCTCTTTCATTTATGTCAGCCAGCGCCTCAGACTTTATCAGATCTTCAACCCCAAGCCGGCATCACGAAGCTCAATGGGATTTGATCGACGAAAGACCGCAGAGTCATCTCACTCTGAGTTTACTTTGAGACATCCGTGGACGAGTCGAAGCGGGCTGCGGCGTTCCTATAGAGCTCATTGAAGGAATATCCACTTCTATGCCAGCCAAAGAAACACGCGAAATAACGTATGGGAGTTACAGACACCTCGTCGTGAAATTCTCCCAACGGAACTTCCGCTATGACAGCGACAGGGCTGATGACTTCTCCGGCATTACAAACAGTCTTACCGAGCTGCGAGGAGAGGAGTTCATCTTCGGCATGCCAAGATTAATATTTGAAATGTCTCTCTCGTGGGTCGGCTACTCAGACAGACGGTCTACACGGTGCTCAATTCCGGGCAGCAATACGCCTGTTGAACTTCCAAACTGGTCATGGGCTAGATCTGCTCTGTTCAAAGTCTCATCAGAAAGGAAACCCCGAAGTCACTACGTACTCGCTGACCAACCCGAAAGCCCCGAAAAGTTTGCGAAGCGCATGATCCCTCTTATGCACGAAATGGAGACGGTGGATCCACTGTGAAGAGCCCGTGGCGAACAGAGGAAAAGGTGAACGTAAGCTAAGAGGACATTGACTGTCATTTCCCAAATCTTGCGCTGTCTCCATATAGGGCGCTGGATTACGTCTTGTCCTTTTGGGTTTTATCTTCCACTCGATTCCAGACAGGGCTAGCTCGGCGTAAAAGGCCACCACGGCTTGGCCTTCCTCAATCATCTTTTATGAGCGTATGCCGGAGTCCCATTCCAAGTGAGCGGCAAATGGTGGCACAGTCAAGCCGTCCTCTTCAACAATTTCGCGTACATGGTCGTGGGCAGAAAAAACAAGAGCTTGTCGGTCATGCATATTGGGGGAAAAACGGCTTCGCATACCGAATCAACATGGGCTCGGTTGAAGAATCAGTCCGAGTGAGGGCCTAGCCAGGGTGGAAATTGATTGCGCTTGCGTAGAAAACCTTTTTCTGCTGGCGAGCTGACTGCGATGTCGGCAGCGCTGTCATGTCTTTGCAGCATTTTCTTTTGCGATTCATTCTTCTTGGAATATCGAGTTCTGGACGCCGATTGGCTGGGACATAAATTTGATTTTTTTTATTCCGACAGGGCCAGTAAAGCCGCAGCCTTACCAGGGGCATCCCAAGGAGCCGGATGGGAGCCCGGGAGCCCGTGTGCCCGCGCCCTGGAATCCGCGAGGGGAGAGGCCGGAGCCATAGCGCTGAAGTCCAGGCCCGCACTATCCACCAGTTTGCGCCACGCCTTGCAGGTGAAACACGCCACATATTTCCAGCGCATCACCACATGGCCAATGGCATCTGTCAGATCGACTCTCGTTCCTCCGCCCGCTTGTCCCCACGACGTGGCTCTCTGCCGTCCATGGACAGCGCACATCTTCACTCCTGCTAAGCGCATCCACGTCGCATTCTTGTCGCTTGAAAGCTCTACATTTAACAAATGGGGGTTGGTTTAATCGGAAGGTATGTTGCAACTCCTTGTCAAGCTGCATTCCTACCGATGGTACCTGGATTCTCTACTCAGCGCGTCCTGATCGGAGCCTACCCGGCAGAAACCAAGGCGTCATGCAGCTTTAACGCCATGTTCTCGGCCCCAAGCCGCGGTCATGCCCGTCGTCCCACGCGTCGTGGCTCTTCCGGTCTCATCTTTCGTCGGCTTGCTCTAGACGAGCCTTGCATATTCAGTGGGTACAGCGCATTACTTACCTTCACTACTGGTTGACAGTACCTCTGTGCGTGATGTACTGCATTCAACTGCATGACGCTAGCTATTCAGCATGGGATATATGAATCCTTCCGCTTCCGGTCTGCTTTCATGTGCTTGAACAATCTTTCCACTGCTGCGCCTACACTCCTTAGATTACCAAGAAATTCATTCCTTCGTTCATTCTTTTCCATTCTTTGGATCTCGTCACAATGCTTGCACTTCTTATCTTACTACCCTTCTTGGGTCTCCTCAGCCTAGCTAGCGCAGCGCCAGCGATCGCTTTCTCGCCTCACCACCATCACTCTCATCATGAAGTGCGAGCCGCTCTATCTTCTCCTGAATCCAATGTCACATTGGAACCTGCTATCGAGCAGCTTGAGCGCCGAGCCGTCCCCAAAAAGCGTGGTCTCGCCTACAACAACCCTGCCCTGACCAAGCTCTTCACGGGCGCCAATTCGAAAATCTCCTGGATGTGGAATTGGGACTCAGCAAAATACAACGGCGTCAATTCAAACCTTGTCTACTGCCCTATTCTCCAATCCAACGCAGCCTCCGACACCTCTAAATGGAACGCCAACTTCGCGACCGCCTGGGCCGCAGGGTCCCGCCACGCCTTCTCCTTCAACGAACCCGACCAATGCGGCGGTGGAGGTTCTTGCATTCAGAACGTCGCAACAGCCGTTGCCGCACATAAACAATGGGTCCAGCCGCTCGCTGCTAAGTACGGGAACGGCATCCGCATCGGCGCGCCGAGCGTGACGAATGGCGTGAAAGACGCGACCACGGGGTCCGTCATGGGCCTCCCGTGGCTCCAGCAATTCATCGCGCAGTGCACCGGCTGCCGTCTAGATTTCATCGTCGTGCACTGGTACGACTCAGCCACCAACATCGCCTACTTCAAGCAGCACTTGAATGACGCATATGCTGCTGGAGGCGGCCGACCGGTCTACGTCACCGAATTCGCTCCCACGTCCGGCACGGATGCGCAGATACAGCAATTCTTGAAGGATGCAATGGCCTTCATGGACTCGACGAGCTGGGTCCAGTGGTACTCGTACTTCATGACCGCGGAAGGGAACCTGGTCAACGACGCTGGCAATGGGCTGTCGACGCTAGGGCAGATTTACAACACATATTGATTTTGAGGGTTTAGAATACTTAGGGGAGGAGGTTTGGTGCTATCCTTCGGTCTTAATTGATCCCTTCACTTCTTCCATTCGCTTATACCCACCTTTTACACACACTTTGGGTCCGGGTCACCCACATTCTTACTTTCGCTTATGCCTAACATTCACACCTATATTCTTGTATATACTTCATTTCACTTCGATGGCGGAATACATCTTACCGCATAGACTAGGAGCCACTGGCTTTCACCATGGAATCAAACAAATTTTGGTACCACTATTGGTCACGTGCATATCCTTGCTTCCCATATTACATCCACAACGGAATCTTCATTCTGCGGTTCACAGACTTTCAGCAGAGCTTTTGCCTGGTCCCAGGATCCGCCCGTTTGAAGACGTCGAGCCACAACGCCTGATTGTAGAAGTGATCAGAAATACGACGGGTGCGCTTGTAATCCTATCAAATGACGGAAACGTCAAAAAAAAAATGAGATACAGGTAGTCAAACGACTCTCACAACCAAGTGCGTTTGTCCAGCTTTCTCGGGAAAACATATCAAGCCAACCCAAACAGCAAGCACAACAAGCCTACCCAACTGATTGCCGTAATAAGCACCGGCGAGCCTCACACCTCCGCAGCGTGATTCTCAACCATAATCACAGCCTCCTTCTCACTAACAGACACCGGCAGGTCTAAATCTCCCTTCACTAATCCCTTCCCATCTTGCGCTAGATGCACGACCACGACGTCCCCGAACAGATCCCCCATCTCCTCCATACTGCGCCCCTTGCTCTCGGGTAGATAGAAGTAGATCACAATCGTACTAACCACATTACACCCAATCCAGACGAGATAGAACTTCCATCCAATATTCTTAAATGCCACCGCCGCCGGCGTCGTATACGTAATCGCGCCCACAAAGTAGGCCGCGAACGCGAGCGCGATGCCCTTGGGTCTGATCGCCGTGGGCCAGATCTCGGCCGCATACACGAACGACGGCGGGTCGATGAAGATGTCGTAGACGACGATGTAGAAGAAGAGGAAGAAGACGGCGGCCGCGTTCCCAGCTTTGTTGTCAGACTTGGCGTACTGCCGAGTCAAGAGCGCTTCGGTCAGGAGCGCCAACGTGGTGAGCGGGAAGCCGATGAGGAAGAGGCGGCGACGGCCGACTTTGTCCATGATGAAGCTGGACAGGACGGTTACGGAGGTGCCGGTGCAGGTGTAAACGGCGTTGAGTAGGAGCGGCATTGAGCCTGTAAGCCCGAGGTTTTGGTACACGATAACGATGTAGTTGCCGATGCCGAGCACGCCGGTGGATTGGCCCGCGAAGAGGAGGAACATGACGAGGAGGCTGCGCTTGCGCCAGGCTGGGTTGCGGAACATCTCGAGGTAGGTGGTTTTGAATTGGCGCTCGTACTCGACTTGCTCGACGACTTGGAGGTACTCGGCGTGGGCGGCAAGGTCGGCGGCGTCGGTGGAGTCGTGGTGGAGGCGTTGGGTTATGGTCCATGCTTCATCTTTGCGGTGCTCGTAGACGAGCCAGCGGGGAGATTCCAGAATGAAGAAGACGCCGGCGCAAATGATGGAGGGAGTAAAGCAGGCCAGCGCGAGGGGTGTACGCCACTGGACTGTTTCGTCCTTGGCGTAATAGGTTGCGAAGCCGATCCAGGCGCAGACGCTGTAACCAATGCCAATACCGATCGTGCTTGGAGATTAGTCAGTCTATGTCTCGTCTATAAGGACGTGTGGTGCACTTACAACATGCCCAGAAGGATACCTCGTGACTTGGGTGGGCTCACTTCAGACACGTAAAGAGGGGTCAGGCAGATGACCTGCCCTAGTTCGAGTCCTTGAATGAAACGGCATATAATGATCATGGGAATACTGACGCTTCCAGCCGTGAGGGCTCCACCGATGACGCAAAGAAGTGATGCGAGGAAGAGACTCCATTTGCGACCCAGCCAGTTCGAGGTCCATCCTTGGGATACGGCGCCGACAGCTGCCCCGAACGCGAAAAGGGAGTTGATTGCGCCTAGGATTGAGGCAGTATACGAAGAGGTAGCTATGAAGCGAGTTAGTATATTCGGGATAGATCATGACTTGATGTTTAGGATGAAGACACCAGAGTGGAAAAGAACGAGGAGCCTTACGATCGAGATCAAAGTACACATAAAAACCAGGCCGGCCAATGCTAGTAACGAAGACTGCAAACGAGAAGCCGTAGGTCCAACTACCGAGACAGCAGAAGGCGACTATCCAGATGCTATACGCAGTAAGTCTCGCCATGGTGGTGACTTCTGTGCCCTTTGTGATGACGACCGCAAGGGCTGATGAAGAGAGAAGATACTATGGGACTTAATGCAGAAGAAAGCACTTTAAAAAAATATGCACAGGAGCGGGGATGGTTGAGTTTATACCCTGTGCATCCCCCAAGGGTTATAGGTCTCCGGCCACTTTCAGCCATCTCCTGTTTACGCGTGCTAGCTTTTCACCTTGACAGTTCCAGGGAAGGCGTGGGGAAAGTGTGGAGAAGCTGGGGCAGTAGGTGCGGGAAAACTTGGCCTCGGTCCAGCATTGCCAGGAGGGCTTGCATGCGTAAGTGCGCTAGATCAAGAGCCTACAACGCATAGCGTCTCAATAATGAGTCTTCATAGAGAATTACTGTCTCGGGGTGACTGCGGATGTTATATACGCGGTCGATCTCCCGGAACCTTCTGCCGGGCTTTGTCATTATTACGTGATATCTGTCTGGCCAATGTATCAACATTATGTAGCCTGTGGAGCTCACAGGCTAGATCGACGGCAGGTAGATTGCTGGGGAGGATGTAGCTCTGCATGGTTCCTGGCCCGGAGGAACGGAGAGATCAAGATTTGACGTTGCTGTTTGGTAGAATACTCGTCACATGACCAATCTTCGACGACGAGATGCTGAGACGTACGGAAAGCCGAGAATCATAGAGTCAGAGGCGTCACGAGCATGCGTTCTGATTTCGTCACGGGAGTATATCCCGATGAGCCTGGGTAAGCTCTGAACGAGAAGCTTTCATTTCCAATTCTGCGTACAGCAAGACTCCCGAATACCCCTTGCAAACGAGTGAAGTCCCACGAAAAGACACATAAACAACTGAAGTACAGTAATGAGTGTTGCTGATGAGATACTATGCGCCAGTATGAAGGTCGAACCAATGCTCTACAGCATCTCCCGCCCCTTCGCCTCGTCCTCGCTCTCCTCAATCTTGGACAGCGGCCTGCCCCAATACCCGCCCAAGCTATACCCAGCGCGCATAGCTCTCGGACTAACAGCAATGCCTGCGGCTCCATACGTTACGGTGCCCTGCAGCTCGCTAGCTTCATCCGGCTGGCCCCAGGCATCAGTCTGCTCGACAGACTCATGCCAATCCTCTTTGTTAGCCTCGGATGAGGCGTATATGGAGGGTTTTGAAGAAGACGTAGAGGAAATGGATGAACTGGAGGAACTAGAACCAGTACGGGAGCGTTGTTTAGGAGATATAGATACACGACCCTCGCCACGGGCGAGGGTATCATAGACTGACTGGGGGACGGTGGGGTAGGTGAGCATGGTTTCAATGGTGGGCAGGGGCATGTAGCGAAGAGTTGGGTGAAGGTGGGGAGTTTGAGGTTGAACTGGAAGCGGTTGGGTTGGGTGAAGGATGGTCGGAGTAGAGTCTGTGGAGCCAGTGGTCAGTGATGTCATGTAATGTTGCGTTACAGGTAAGATTCCGTCTGGAGGATAGATTGGGTGTAGGAACAATTTTGATCCAATTTACATGCATATATGAGACTTATGAGAAGAACGAAAGGACGAAGATATTGTTATAATGGGAACAGAAAGTTAGAGACAAAAATTGTAGACTAACCTCCATCGGAACTCTCAACTCCAATGACCAAAATCTCATCTCCAAGGTCATCGACATGCGTCACTCTCTGGTCTCGCTTCTGCGTCTCTTCTTGCCTCGAAGGGGCCCTCTGGTGGCGAGAGGAGCTTGGCGCCATGGTAGATGCTCTAGGGCTTCAACAGACGACCTCTTCTTGACTAGAGAGCAGTTATTGAGAGCGTTGCAAGCTGCTTGCCGAGTACGTTGGGTCTCAGCTGGACCGGCCGAGCTATGCAAGGAGGATGCAAATGTGATATTTGTAAGAAGCAAAAGGAAGAGAAGAAGTGAGGTAAATAGAGTATGCGAGGGCGGCATGGAAGATATGGGAGGCATGGGCAGAATTGAGCAGGCCCGGCCTTAAAGACAGATTGGAAGGCTTGGACGACGAACGAGAATAGTGGCAAAGCTGTGCCGGATGCTTGCCGAAGGAGCGAGATTGAACTGGAAGTGGATGGCAAACAGGAGTTGAGTCAGATGGGAACCGTACATCTGTCTTATATCAATACTGGACTAATCATGAGGTCATCCTCCGAGTACACCTCGAGGCGCAGACAGCTCGTAAGGGTCCAGGCCTAGCGGCCAGGACCAGTGAGGCTAGATTTCCCATGGGATGAAGTTGGGGACGGCCGTAAGGGGATAGTGTTTGGCCTCGGCTTGCGAGCGAGGGCCGCATTTGTATCGCAAGGGTGTGATTATGTAGCTCTGTGGAGGAGTTGACTCCTCAGTGCAGCCTCGTTAGTCAGAGGTATAGCGCGAGACATTTAGTAGCAGAACTGTTCCTTCAGCGTTGGTACGCGTTCCTTGTGCCGACCAGGAAATGGCAGATGCTCGTCGCCGCAAAGCTTGGCGGTTGGTTCTGTGAGTAACGTAGGTGATGGGGTTATTACGCACGAGGTAGTTATTACGCTTCCGAACATTAAAAAAAAGCTTGGCGGGTGCACAGATTCGGAATACGTGTGAAGCTTAGACCAACGTAATAACTACCTCGTGCGTAATAACCCCATCACCTACGTTACAGTAATTCGCTTACCTAGGCGCTATTCTGATCACGAAGGATATTTCAAGGTCATCTTAGTTACCGAGAGGCAGTGGGGCATTAGAGAAATCTCGACTGCTTCCGACATCTATCGAACATACATGAGCGAAGTTCTTTGATCTCTTCAGACCCATGTGTTTTCATTTCAAATCATTCTAAAACGCCCTTGTGCGCGGATAGGACTCACGCCGCAATTTGCAACCGCGAGGTCCACTTGACGTCAAATTAACTAAGATCTTTTCAGAGGCCGGCAGTCGCGAGGGTAGGATGTTGAAACAGCCTATGGAAGCGGCGTATAGTGGCGCTGCTCGATCGGCATCATGAGCTTCGGATGCAGCTGCCATGAAACCAAGAGGCTGGGAAAGCGCCTCTCGAGTACGGTACGAGCCGTAGCGAACGGGGCGTGATAAAAGGACGCCTAGTCGCCTGAGGAACTCTGTCATGAGATAAAATTAGAAACGGCCACAGGGTGGCACCGCGTATAGCTAGGATAATGCTTTTGGACATAATTAAAGAAAGCTTTAAGAAGTGCATAACATGGAAATCGTCGATGAGAGAATAATGGTATGGTATGTAGGACTTGGCTGACTGAAAATCTCACGAAACCTTAATTTCCAGAGAGTGCGCATGAAGAAGACGGATAGACAGCCTCGAGGTAGTCGTTCGCGGGAAGCGGCTGTGCAGGAACCCGCGATCGTGCCTTGCAGACGCCGCAGACGCTGCAATCAATGAACATGTGGTCATAGGGCTTTCCGCAACGTGTCTATTCGAAGAACGGATTCTAGCGCAGGAGGCGGAGGCGGCGAGTGAAGGAGTGGCAGAGCAGCTTAGCGAAGTGCAGAGGGAGTTGGAGACGGCGAAGTGAGACATCCTCCGCGAAGCCGCTATATTGGTCGGGTTGGCGCATCGTGTTTAAAATTCATTGCGCCCTCAATTAGACTGCCAGAGGATCCTTCGATGATTTGAAGCGTCTGAAAACATGTGACTGTCTCATGGGCGCGAATCAAGCTGGACTTCGATTACTTTTTTTGGGTCAAGATACGAAATTCGAAACGGCTTGATTTAGGTTAATTTTCAATTGGGGTCAAAGTTGAACTTACCACTACCTGGGACCCTTCAATGCTTTGAGCAGCATGCCCAGAGTTGACTTGATTGCGGCCGCACATCGGGCTTGTTTTAATACACTTTTGGAACCTACTTGCAAGTACCGGGGGTACTTCGACGGATTAGCATGACACTGGTCCACAACGAAACTTCATCCTTGAGCTGATTGACGACTCGTTGTGTGCATTGCTTGCCACTGCCGAGGGCCCTTCACTGTATTGTTAAATTTGAACGAGCCAAGCAAGCTCGTGGCTGGTTGTATTCACTACGTCGGTTTCTCGTGTCCGGTCTTCGTTCCCAGTTGCTATAGCGCCATGCCCGTTGAAGGCCCCTTGACGCTTGCAGATGCCGGTTTCTGATATATGCTAGCCCTTCTATACTAGAGGTAGGATATCCCAATACCCAACTCGCTCATGCTCATGTTGAAGAAGCCGCGAAAGCAGTTGAATGCGCTGTAATGTCGATGTTTGTGTCAAACCAAATTTCAACTACGCCTATCCTAGAACAGTCCGTCAATCTCGCCAGACTCTGTATCTAAATCCACATTCAGGTAGCCCGGTGCAGTAGGCAGACCAGGAATCGTCTGAATGTCAGCTGCAAGTGCATACAAATAGCCCGCACCAGCCGCCATTCGGACGTCGCGGATAGGTACAGTGAATCCAGTGGGCGCACCCTTGAGAGTCGGGTCGTGCGATAGCGAGTACTGCGTCTTTGCGATGCATATGGGGAGGTTGCTGAGGCCTTGCTTGGCGTAGGTGTCGACTTTCTTCTGCGCAAGCTCTGAGAACTCGACTTTTTCAGCGCCATACATGAGCTTTCCGATTTTCTCGATCCGCTCTTGCACAGTACCGTCGAGATCGTAGAGCAATTTGAAGTCTTTCGGCTTGGAGGATGCAGCGATGACTCCCTTGGCGAGGTCGATGGCTCCTTTACCACCTTCTGCCCAGTGGTTTGCGGGGATGGCGTCTTCAGCGCCAGCTGCGATAGCTTCTTCCTTAATAACAGCGATTTCGGCTTCTGTGTCGGTGGAGAAGCGATTTATAGCTACGACAACAGGAATTCCAAACTGCCTGGCATTTTCAATGTGCTTCTTGAGATTTACACAGCCCTTGCGGAGAAGATCGATGTTCTCGGTGCGGTAAACTTCTTGGGGTTGGGCTCCGGGAGCGATGTCCGGTCCTCCGCCATGGACCTTGAGGGCACGGACTGTCGCGACAATGACAACGGTGTCGGGAACAAGGCCAGAGGATCGGCACTTGATGTTGAAGAAACGCTCACCACCCATGGTGAAATCGAAGCCTGCCTCGGTCACAACGAAGCCGGTCTTCTCTTCGTGGTTCTCGTCGGGCTCTGTTCCGGCAAGCTTGAGGGCGAGCTTGTCTGCTAGTACTGATGACGCTCCGATGCTAATGTTTGCGAAGGGACCTGCGTGCACAAACACAGGCGTCCCCTCCAGTGTCTGCATGAGGTTAGGCTTGATGGCATCCTTCATCAAAGCCGCGAGTGCGCCACCAGCACCAATGTCGTCGCAAGTCACGGGATCGCCGCTTCGAGAGCTTGCGACGACCATGCGGCCAAGCCGTTCTCGCATATCGGCCAACGAGTTGCTGAGGGCCAACACGGCCATACACTCACTGGCCACAGAAATGTCGAACCCGGTTTCTCGGGCCTGGCCCTTCTCTGTCGACGCTTGGCCGATTGTGATTCCCCTCAGATGTCTATCGTTTACGTCTAGAACGCGTCTCCAAGTGATGGTATCTGGGTCGATGTCTAATCTTGCAAATCTATGGATCTCATCTTCGCTGAGGCTATTCGGGTCTGTCTTCTCTATGCCGAGTTTCTTCAGTCTTCGGAACATTACGTTGGCAAACTGTCTCTTTCCCTTCTTAGTAGGAACCAATCTCTTGTATAACGCAGCATCTTTCTGTGTGTTCTCGTGGAACATTCTTGTTTCGATGGCAGCCGCTAGCAAATTGTTCGCGGCAGTGATTGCATGGATGTCGCCAGTCAAATGGAGGTTGAACTCGTCCATGGGGATGACTTGACTGTATCCTCCCCCTGCCGCTCCTCCCTTGATACCGAACGTCGGACCTTGACTGGGTTGTCGCACGTTTGCGAACGCCAATCGATCCAGATGAGCGGATAGAGCTTGTGTAAGACCAACGGTGGTTGTCGATTTGCCCTCGCCCAGAGGTGTTGGGGTGATGCCCGCGATTAGGATGTAGCGCCCATTTTGCCGGTGCTCCAGCCTCTTCAAAAGAGACAGGTCCACCTTGGCTTTGTACGCACCGTACGGTTCTAACTCGTGATTCAGAACACCTATTTCATGCGCAACGTTGGTGATGTATTTGGGATGTTGAGCTCGGGAGATTGCAATGTCTGAGGGGACCGGGTCGAGAAGCTTGAGTGGCAACGGAGTGACGTGGCGCTGCTTCTGTCGCTCGAAGTATGCATCTGCCGAGCTGACAACGTTTTGGAGAAGCATTGCTACTGTCATTGGGCCGACTCCTCCGGGAACTGGAGTGATTTGCGAGGCGACCTCGACAGCGGACTGGTAGTCCACGTCTCCGACGCAGCGCTGGCCGGACTTTTTTGAGGGGTCTTTGATGTAGTTCGTGCCAACGTCAATGACCACCGCTCCAGGCTTGAGCCAATCTCCCTTAACAAGTTCTGGTTGTCCGATAGCAGCGACCACGATGTCCGCCTGCTTGACCACCTGCTGCAGATTTTGGGTCCGGGAATGGCACACCGTGACTGTGGCGTCCGCATTCTTCAGCAGATAGCTGACCGGGCTGCCAACAATATCGCTTCTTCCAAGCACCACGGCGCTCTTGCCCTTGACGTCAACTCCGCTCGCTTCTAGCAGCACCATAACACCTTTCGGTGTGCATGGTGTGAACAGTGGGTGGCCACCGCGCTTTGCGAGTTCTCCAATATTGGCAATGCCGAATCCATCCACATCCTTCTCGTCGGCAACAGCTGAGGTAACGGCGTGTTCGGAGATGTGTTTTGGGAGAGGAAGCTGGACGAGGATTCCGTGTATAGTGGGGTCGTTGTTGAACTCGGTGAGCTGCTGGAGGAGCTCCGCCTCGCTGGTGTCTTCGGGGAAGGAGGCGAGCTTGCATTCGATGTTGGCCTAGAATCTTGCGATCAGTATGGCAGTTTTTCGGGGTTCGGGTGTGGAGCGAACCTCTTCAGCGGCCTTCAGCTTCATTTTCACATAAGTGCCTGTGGGAGTTAATGGTGGCCTCATCGTACTACACTTTGCTGCAGCACTCACTGGAATCCTCTCTGGTCCCGACTGATTCGAATACGTTAGCAAATAGTTCAGCCTCATAGAAGGCACAAAAGACAAACCTTGCACGATCCTCAGCGACGGCTTGTACCTGGGATTGGTCTCCTGGCGCTTCTGGATCTCAGCGCCCAGGCGCGTCCGGATGCTCTGCGCAATGGCCTTGCCATCGATCTTGGTGGCCGTCATGCTGGGCAGCGTGCTGGAGAATTGTCGTACGCGGGCGCAGTGGGCGGCGGAGGGAGGGATGGGCGATGACGGCGTCTCACGGCGGAGCGGCGTTGAAGAGAAAGTGCATACCCGCGGCCTGGCCCCTCGCGAGTGAAGGGCAAGGGACCTGCAGACCAGCATCCTCATCGTGGTGGACAATTGAACTGAACGGTCGGACGACGTATGCTGAGACCTGCCATTGTTTTATTCTCTGTGAGTCAAGCTTGTACCGTGGACGCGTCTTTCCAGCCCTAAATCTGCTTTTGGTCATGTCAACGCCGGCAAATTTTCCCTAAAGTGCCGCCGCCAGCGATTTCCGCTTTTTGCGGCTTGTCCATGCTATTAGTATTGTTGTCAGGCACGGGAACCGAGCAGCATCTGCATTGTTCCCTCTGGTCATAGCACTTTCCCTGCACTCTTTGTCTCTGCTCTCTCCAATTTTCTGTATTTAGACCAATCAAGAGGCCAGGAGGCTGATGACCTACGGCTCCGCTGCTTCGCTATTTGACGACAATGCATGACTCGGTCCACTGTCTGAAAGTGCCACAGTGCCTCATATCTGCAGATTTACCAGAGTCGCTTAGTATTGATCAGGTAGTTGAGGCTGAGACCTGTGCTGTCTCATCCTTATTCTAGTTATTAAATTGACGGTTTCTCTCGATGACACTTTCGATCTTCATCTACCTACCGAAGAAGGCCCTTAGTGGTGACCCCATACCGCCTATAGATGGCTACGCTTGAAACTTTTACACCGAACTTGCTCGCACCGTGAGAATTACAGCGTGGCGGAGGAGGCTGTTCAAAACGGCGGAAGGGAGTCTCGGTATTTGTCCAGAGCACGTCAAGAGCGGCGACTTGATCACGCTTATATGGAGTAGCGGGACGCAAATCATGCTTCACCCAGTCGGAAATGGGAGGTTCGAATTCGTTGGTGACGCGTACGTGGATGGTACTATGGACTGCGAGGCACTGGCAGATGCATCGCCTGAAGAGGTTTCCGAGATCGGTTGATAATTCCGTTTTTTGAAGAACGTTTCCAGTGCACGTTCTCACAGCTATGACACCCCTCCCATCCGTCATCTCCATCATCAAGGATATAAAGAATAACTACCTACATCCATAGGCGCAATATCGATGTCCCAAAATCAAGACTCAACACCTCACGTCTAAATGACGCCTTTTACGTCGCGTCCAGATCTCTGGTAACGTGCCGGCTAACTCCAGATATAATCAGCAACAATGCGAGAAGACAAATGCGATTTGATACAGTCGCTAGTGAATGTGGCTTCACCACGACTAACCACTAAAAACAGATTGCCAAATATCCTTGGCACAGCATTACTATGTACGTTTGCACAACCTCGCAGAGGTCAAAATAGATCCAACTTCGTCTAGCTACTACCTGCTGTTACCCCGGTCCGCTTTCTGAGTTAAGCTGCCCAATCTTATTGGTTCACGTCTACGCCTTCTTATTGGTTCCTGCTTTCTAGGTGTATTATGTGTCATCTCTCTTCTATCTTATAAATTTCACACGTATGTCTCTCTTACCCTCTTACCCTCTTCCATCTCTTATAATATGGCTAATTCTACTGTTCTTTATGCCCTTGTTCCTACTAAAGGTCTTACTATTATCTCCTATCTACGGTTAATACCAAGACATGACCTAGAATATGTTTTTGGACATAGTAATTATAGTGGTGCACAAGACATACCAGTAGAAGATATACCAATATTGTTACCTCCGGAGTTACGGTATATCTCTTTTTTTTTCTTTTCTCTTATTCTGCTAATCTTTTTAGGTATATTATTGGGAATTACTACATTACCTGCCTACGCGTACGGCGGCTCCTCCGTCTCAATAATCTCTCTTGGTTTCATCTGGCTGACTTGGATGGCCTGGATACTACTAGTCTTTATTGGGCTAGTTCTGTTGAGGAGGATGTTGCAGATGATACTTTTGGATTCCAGTGGTGATATTGTCTAGGCGGACATTATGACAAATTTTAGTAACCCTGCGCTATCATCGCCGCTAGCCAGTGGCCCGTTTATACAAATAATCTTGTATAAGTGTTGTGCCCGCCCACCATTGCCATTGGCCAGCAAAACCACCGCCACCAATTCTCAGCCTTCCCACCTCTATCGGCCTCCTCGGTGGTGGAGTCTGTGCGCTGTCAGCCCTCTAGATTGCGCTGGAGGCTGCTCTCACCATCTCATCCCTCTGGCGCGATCGCCGTCGCAAATATTTAAACCCGCTGAGCTCCTTCTGCCTTCATTCCAGGAGCTCCCTCTGATGAGCGCCTTGCGGTACTACTGCGAATTTGTCGGTGCCTACTGGATATGCTGTCGCCATGACACAGCCTGCTTCACCTACCGCCGATGAACCGGTCAACTTGCTAGCTCTAGGTATGTGAAAGGGTATGCTCTAAACATGAGACTCGACTAACACCACCTAGATGGCGGAGGCATTCGTGGAGTGTTAGAGTTGCTGATTCTTGACGAGATCATGCGGCGCGTTCGATATGACCTGAACCTTGCTGAAATGCCACGACCCTGCGACTACTTCGACCTCATCGGAGGAACTAGTACAGGAGGGTGAGCGCTTCTTCCTTTCAGTTATATATCTGAATTAAGCGTACTCTATACTTATAAACGTCTAATTAGTCTCATCGCACTTATGCTTGGTCGATTACAAATGACGACGGACGAGGCTCTTCGAACTTACAACTCCCTGGCACGCGCCATATTTTCAAAGGACAATAAAAAATGGTCGGCCCAGGACGGCGTATTCAAAGCTACTACGCTTAAGGATAAGGTGCAAGAAGTCGTTTTAAAGAAGGGCCTAGGAGACCTTATGCTGGATCCACCCGTCCAGTCAAATAAGGGCAAAGCCTTTGTCTGTGCAGTACCCGCCAATAGTATGGCGCATCCACGACGATTCAGGACTTATCCCGTCAGAGCACTTGCAAGCGCAAACTGTCAAATCTAGGAAGCCGCTCGTGCCACTACCGCAGCCCCGACTTTTTTCAAGCGGATCGCCATTAGCGAGGAAGGCCAAGCCAAAGAGGAGTTCATTGATGGCGGACTCGGATGTAACAATCCGGCAAGTGAGGTGTTAGAGGAGGCAAGGGACATCTTTGGTAATGATAGGCTCGTACGCTGTCTTATTAGCATCCGAACTGGCTATCCAGGCACGATTGGCTTATCAAAGCCAGACTCGTTCCAAAAAGTCTTGCCCACGAAACTGGTCAACGTGCTCAAGAAGATTGCTACCGATTGCGAGAAGACAGCAAACGGTTTAAGCGCAAGGTTCAAAGACCTTGAAAATTTCTACTTCCGCTTCAACGTAGCTCATGGTGCCGAGGGTATCTCATTAGAAGAATGGGAGAAAATAGGAGTGTTGACAGAGCACACGAAGGCATACATGGCAGAGGTCTCAGTTTCAAAGGCAATAGATGAGATTGTGGATATACTATGCCACCCAAAGAACACTGGGGTCACCTTAGGAAGTACCTGTTAGTCGCTATATCTCCATTCTTGCATTAATTAGTCTGATAATCTTCTCAAGGCAGTGTCCCGCGTATTCCAAATGTGCCTCAACCGGTGCAGATGCGACCACAACCGATGCCTAGTTCAATATTTACCGGGCGCAAGAATATAATAGAGACTCTGGAAGCATTCTTCTCAGTCAGACTAAATGGCTCGGCTCCGAGAAGAGAATACCTCTTGTATGGATTAGGGGGAGCTGGAAAGACACAGATTGCGTTGCAATTTGCCAAGGAATGTCAAGAGAGGTTAGTCGCCGCCTACGATAGGGAATAGGGAATAATTAATAGCGAGCAGATTCGAGCGCATTTTTTGGATCGACGCAAGTAACAGACCCACGATCGAACAGAGTTACAAGGGCATTGCAGCCGAGAACAGCTTAGGCAGCTCTGGCAAAGGTAGCAAAGAGGCCGAGTTGGGCGGGGGAAACGACACCAAAGCAGTCCTCCAATGGTTGGCAAATTCAAATCAAGAATGGCTGATCTTGTTCGACAACTACGAGAGTACCAAAAACCTACATGATCTTATCCCTAGCAGCGACCGCGGGAACATCTTATACACCAGTAGAGATCCTGCTCTGGGCTTAACCCTTCCTCGGAACGCTGTTTGTGAAGTTCTCGAAATGGAAGGCGAGGATGCTACCACATTGCTTTTAAGAGCCGCCCAGCTTGAGAAAAGAGAAAAAGACGATGGAATACGCCAGCAGGCAAAGCACATTGTAGAAACACTTGGCTTTCTCCCTTTAGCGATCGACATAGCTGGAGCGTCTATCTGTATGGGCCGATGCCATCTTGACGACTACATCAATACATTTCACAAGCACCGGGAAGAAATGATGAAAGACTGCACATTCAGAGGAGCGTCAAAATATAACCAAGCCGTATATACAGCATGGGATATCTCGTATGACGCGTTAAAAGATTTTGCCAAAGGACGAGAAGGTGCGACAAGATGTCAAGACGCAAAAGCCGCACTACAACTCCTCAATCTGTTTGCATTTTTGCACAATGAAGGCATCATGGAAGAGTTATTCAAGCGCGCCGGGGAGAGTCAACGCCTAGGCAACAATCCTAAGGCCCGTTACACTTTTGATTACTCCGCCAAACTGTCGGAACTACTGATAGTTGATGTAGACGGAAGTTGGGACCCTTTCCTATTTCGAAAGGGGATTTCAATACTACTTTCATTTTCGCTAGTCACGAAAGATCAAAGCGGGCGATATTTTTCTATGCACGTTTTGGTCCATTCATGGGCTCGGGACCATATGCCCAGTTCTGCGCAACCGCATCAGCTATGCGCTGCGACAGCGTTATTATCGTCATCTATTAGCTCGAGATTTCTTACCGGAGATTATGCGTTCCGGCGACAACTGCTCCCGCATATAAGAGCATGTAAAAAATATAGCGCGGCGGGGGAGGAGACTAAGTCAGAAGATTTGGAGGATGCTAGCAATTTTTCATTAGTGTTCTACGAAGGAGGACATTGGCGGGAGGCAGAAGAGACTTTTGTGCTAGTGCAGAATATAAGAAAGAGGGAGCTTGGGGAGGAGCATCCTTCCACGCTGACCAGCATGGCTAACCTGGCGTTGACGTTTTGGAAACAAGGGCGGTGGAAGGAGGCCGAAGAGCTGAATGTGCAAGTGATGGAGACGAGAAAGAAGGTGCTTGGAGAGGAGCATCCCTCCACGCTGACCAGCATGGCCAACCTGGCGTCGACGTTTTGGAATCAAGGACGGTGGAAGGAGGCCGAAGAGCTGTTTGTGCAAGTAATGCAGACAAATTTAAGAATGCTTGGGGAGGAGCATTCAGACACGCTGACCAGCATGGCCAACTTGGCGTCGACGTACAGTAATCAAGGACGGTGGAAGAAGGCCGAAGAGCTGGAGGTGCGAGTGATGGAGACGAGAAAGAGGGTGCTT